ACACTATTTATGCAACAGTATGTGGACACCCCTTCAAATTAGTAGATTTGGCTATTTCAGCTACACCCGTTGCTGACTGGTGTATAAAATCGAGCACACAGCTATGTAATCTCCATGAACAAACATCTGCAGTAGAATGGCCCTACTGAAGAGCTCTGTGATTTTCAACGTGGCACTGTCATAGGATGCCACCTTTCCAACAAGTCAGTTCATCAAATTTCTGCCCTGCTAGCGCTGCCCCGGTCAACTGTAAGTGCTATTATTATGAAGTGGAAACGTCTAGGAGCAACAACGGCTCAGCAGCGAAGTGGTAGACCACACAAGCTCACAGAACGGGACCGCCGAGTGTTTTTCATGGTTCGGCCTAGCTCCCTTAGTTCCAGTAATGGGAAATCTTAACGCTACAGCATACAATGACATTCTACACGATTTTGTGCTTCCAACTTTGTGGCCTTTGGGGAAGGCCCTTTCCTGTTTCAGCATGACAATGCCCCCATGCACAAATCGAGGTCCATACAGAAATGTATTGTCGAAATCGGTGTGGAAGAACTTGACTGGCCTGCACCGAGCCCTAACCTCAATCCCACCGAACACCTTTGGGATTAATTGAAATACTGACTGCGAGCCAGGCATAATCGCCCAACATCAGTGCCCGACCTCACTAATGCTCTTGTGGCTGAATGGCAGCAAGTCCCAGCAGCAATGTTCCAACATCTAGTGGAAAGCCTTCCCAGAAGAGTGGAGGCTGTTCTCGCAGCAGAGGGGGACCAACTCCATATTAATGCCCATGATTTTGTAATGAGATGTTCGATGAGCAGGTGCCCACATACTTTTGGTCATGTGGTGTATTTATCATCCGATATAACAGTGCCTGTCTTGACTGGAGAAGCAAGCTAAACTAGCCAGCTATAGCTAGCTAGGCTAATTGAGGCCACGTGCTATGCTTTATCCCCAACCCCATTCAGATAAAACAGCCTAACTGTTGGTTGCTCGATGTAGTCTACTCTTTCTCATTTCGCTAACTTTTTTAATTCTGTAATTTTATTGGATTAGTTAACTCTCTCTACACATTGAGCTGCTTTGATTGGCTAACATAAACAAGCTACACACGTGAAGGCTACCGGCCTTTTTATGGGGCGCACGTCATCAAAACTAAATTGAAGTTTGTTTTATTAAGTTAATAATTTGAAATGTCATGGTATATCCTTGTACAGTATGTAACAATGTCACATGGATATCTTAATTTAGAAAAATTATTTTAAGTGATACAGTGAGGGGGGAAAAAGTATTTGATCCCCTGCTGATTTTGGATGTTTGCCCACTGACAAAGAAATGATCAGTCTATAATTTTAATGGTAGGTTAATTTGAACAGTGAGAGACAGAATAACAACAACAAAAAATCCAGAAAAACGCATGTCAAAAATGTTATTTCCCTCATTAAAATGCAAATCTATTTATAAGTATTTGACCCCCTCTCAATCAGAAAGATTTCAGGCTCCCAGGTGTCTTTTATACAGGTAACGAGCTGAGATTAGAAGCACACTCTTAAAGGGAGTGCTCCTAATCTCAGTTTGTTACCTGTATAAAAGACATCTGTCCACAGAAGCAATCAATCAATCAGATTCCAAACTCTCCACCATGGCCAAGACCAAAGAGCTCTCCAAGGATGTCAGGGACAAGATTGTAGACCTACACAAGGCTGGAATGGGCTACAAGACCATCGCCAAGCAGCTTGGTGAGAAGGTGACAACAGTTGGTGCGATTATTCGCAAATGGAAGAAACACAAAAGAACGGTCAATCTCCCTCGGCCTGTGGCTCCATGCAAAATCTCACCTCGTGGAGTTGCAATGATCATGAGAACGGTGAGGAATCAGCCCAGAACTACACGGGAGGATCTTGTCAATGATCTCAAGGCAGCTGGGACCATAGTCACCAAGAAAACAATTGGTAACACACTAAGCCGTGAAGGACTGAAATCCTGCAGCGCCCGCAAGGTCCCCCTGCTCAAGAAAGCACATATACAGGGCCGTCTGAAGTTTGCCAATGAACATCTGAATGATTCAGAGAAGAACTGGGTGAAAGTGTTGTGGTCAGATGAGACCAAAATCGAGCTCTTTGGCATCAACTCAACTCGCCGTGTTTGGAGGAGGAGGAATGCTGCCTATGACCCCAAGAACACCATCCCCACCGTCAAACATGGAGGTGAAACATTATGCTTTGGGCTTATGCTGAAGGTTCGAGTTGCCAAACGTCAGCCTCAAACTTAATGACTTGGAGAAGATCTGCAAAGAGGAGTGGGACAAAATCCCTCCTGAGATGTGTGCGAACCTGGTGGTCAACTACAAGAAACGTCTGACCTCTGTGATTGCCAACAAGGGTTTTGCCACCAAGTACTAAGTCATGTTTTGCAGAGGGGTCAAATACTTATTTCCCTCATTAAAATGCAAATCAATTTATAACATTTTTGACATGTGTTTTTCTAGGATTTTATTGTTGTTATTCTGTCTCTCACTGTTCAAATAAACCTAATATTAAAATTATAGACTGATCATGTCTTTGTCAGTGGGCAAATGTACAAAATCAGCAGGGGATCAAATACTTTTTTCCCTCACTGTATATGCAGTACCAGTCAAAAGTTTGGACACCTACTCATTCAAGGGTTTTTCTTTTATTTGTACTATTTTCTACATTTTAGAATAATAGTGAAGACATCAAAACTATGGAATAACACATGGAATCATGTAGTTACCAAGAAAGTGTTAAACAAATCAAAATATATTTTGGATTTTTCAATGTAGCCACCCTTTGCCTTGACAGCTTTGCACACTTGGCATTCTCTCAACCAGCTTCACCTGGAATGCTTTTCCAACAGTCTTGAAGGAGTTCCCACATATGCTGAGCACTTGTTGGCTGCTTTTCCTTCACTCTGCGGTCCAACTCATCCTAAACCATCTCAATTGGGTTGAGGTCGGGTGATTGTGGAGGCCAGGTCATCTGATACAGCACTCCAAGTCTCTTCTTCTTATTGGTGTCCTTTTAGTAGTGGTTTCTTGGCAGCAATTCGACCATGAAGGCCTGATTTCACGTAGTCTCCTCTGAACAGTTGATATGTTGTGTCTGTTACTTGAACTCTGAAGCATTTATTTGGGCTGCAATTTCTGAGGCTGGTAACTCTGCTGCAGAGGATAAGTTCATTAGAGGTAACTCTGGGTCTTCCTTTCCTGTGGCGGTCCTCATGAGAGCCAGTTTCATCATGGCGTTTGATGGTTTTTGCGACCTGCAATTGAAGAAACTTTAAAAGTTCTTGACATTTTCCGGATTGACTGACCTTCATGTCTTAAAGTAATGATGGACTGTCATTTCTGTTATTTGATCTGTTCTTGCCATAATATGGACTTGGTCTTTTACCAAATAGGGCTGTCTTCTGTATACACCCCCCCCCCCACAAATTCCACAAATTAACTTTTAACAAGGCACACCTGTTAATTGAAATGCATTCCAGGTGACTACCTCATGAAGCTGGTTGAGAGAATGCCAAGCGTGTGCAAAGCTGTCATCAAGGCAAAGGGTGGCTACTTTGAAGAATCTCAAATATAAAATATATTTTGATTTAACACTTTTTTGGATACTACATGATGTATTATTTCATAGTTTTGATGTAGAGTAATAGTGAAGACAATGTAGACTTGTGAAAAGGGAGCTAACGAAGCCTAACACACACCCTCTGCAGCGTCAGTATGGGGAAGACTGGGACTGGGATTGTGGCTGGGGGTGGGGTGCAGGAGAGCAAATGTCACCAACGTTGCCTGTTCAAGACTGAGAACAGGCCTCTGCATTTTTCTCACCACCTCCTCACTCCCTTTCATTACTCCGGCTTAAAATATTCTCCTACAGGAGAGGGGGGGCTTTGACCGTTGTCATTCTTTGCCTAGACCTGGTAGTTGACCTAACGTCTGTCTCTTGTAAAGGTATTAACATCTGGAGGTTTGCAAGAGTTTTGATGGCCCGTCACCCTAGTTCAGAGATATGTTGTAAAGGGAAGACTGTTAGGACTTAGCCTTGGTCCCTGGTGGGTCTTGGAAACCTCGATGTTGGGCGTAGCTCTCCACCACCTGTTTGCACCCACAGCAGGGACCTTTGTGAGCACCCCATGGGAGGCGAGGGCACTCAGGGAGTGGGTGATGGAACGAGCAGCAGACCATCCTTTTCTCCTACCCGTCAGAGGGACATAATGTCACTGTGTGTCTCGTCCTGTGTGTCTCGTCCAAGAAGACCAGACTACATTCTTTCCCATCTTGTCCGCCAAACGACATAAAAAAACAGACACCGTAATTGGCAAGGCAGTGTCCCTCATTTGGGCGTGGCTGAGAGCAGCTGTCGTTTGTGCATGCCGTCTTCCTGCCGAGGTTGCCTCCCTCGGTCGATTGCGCCTCCCAGAAACCCATTGACTCAGCCCTGGTAAAACCGAAAGCCAGGATTGACATCCCAGATTAACGAAGATTACATGCACGGCTATTACTAGCCACGGGATGAATGGACAACCTTGCATCCCCTGGAGGGCAATAAATCATCAGAGGGACTGTCACTCTAATTCTTCCAGGGGGTGGGTGGGAAGGCGAGTGTTGTGACGTCTGATGTAAGGGGTGGGTGGCGTTAGTCGAGATGGTTGGTGGAATCCGGGCTGATTCTAGAATCCTCAAACTCTTCACTTTGGTGTTTAGCAGGAAGGGAAGGTTGGTGTGCATAAATACCCTTATTGAATCCTCAGGAGGGATGTCCCCCAGCTGTTTTGGTGACTCTGCTTTACTGGAGGGAGGGAGGGGGGGCTCGCTCAGAACATTCTGAGATGTTTCTCTCGGAAAGGACAAAGCCGGAAGTGGACACTCTCTCCCTCTATCTGTAAGGGCAGTGGCTGGCTGCTGAGGCTTTAAAGAAACCAACCAAGCTATCTCGCCCTCTCTTTATCTCTCTCTCTTTCACACACCACTTTGGCTGCAGACGAGGCGTGTTGACGGAGAGCGCAGAGTGGCGTGCACTGACAGGGTCAAGGCGACCTTTTCAGGGGTGGCCATGGCGAGGGGAGTTAGGTCAGCCTAAGCTGACAGCGGGTCACAGAAAGAAGGAAGAGGAGCTCGTCCTTCTTCCGTGTGTCCCAAATCCGCCTGAGATCAGTTGAGCGATGCGTCACAAAGCAGGGTAGAAGCACGCTGAACGCTGAATTCCAAATCAACCACTAGCCCCTATACTCCCTAGCCACTCCTCCTGTAGATCTGGGGCTGTATGTATCAAGCTACTCAGAGTAGAAGTTCTGATTTTAGGATCAGGTTTGCCTTTTAGATCACAATGAATAAGACTACATGGACAATAGAGCTGCATGATATGGGCAATTATTATTTATTAATTTGACAAATATTGTGATTTGACTTGCGATATAGATCAAAACACTTGGGTGAACTGTTGGAATCATAGAAAAGGAATATTAAGAAGCAAAGTGGAAAGCAGCATCGTTCTTGTTTGGAACAGTCCTGCATTTGACCTAACAGAACAGGATGCAAACTCAAAGCGAATGTAACAGCGAGGAGGAGGAACTGCGCTGCTTGAGTGACAGGGGCGGGGCTTTGTGTGTGTGGGAAGCTGCAAGAGGAGGGAGAGAGACGACAGAGTAAATGATAGCCACGTTACATCCGTTTTAAGTGGGGGTTCAAAATATTGCATGCAATATGGATCTCTTGCGACATGGATATTGCACATGTCAATACTGTGATTTCGATGTGAGTTTGATTAATTGTGCATCCTAGATCAGCACTCCTAACTCTGAGACGATTTATGAATATGGCCCCTGAAAGGAATCGGATAGTTGGAAGCAAGATGGCGACATTACCATCATTCTTATATATCCAATCATCTCAGCTCTACAGATGTGCCTGCAGAGGGTGGACGGGTTAGGTGCTTCTTAAACCTTAGCCCCTTCCCCTTAGGCATTTTGCAGATCTGAAAGCATTGGACAAGTTCTCTTTAGCATATTGCTCATACCTATCCATTTCTTTCAGATATAAAGTGCCTTCAGAAAGTATTCACACCTTGACTTTTTCCACATTTTTGTTAGCCTGAATTTAAAAAGGAATAAATTGAGATTTTGTCACTGATCTACACATAATACCCCATAATGTCAGTGGTTTTAGAATTTTTTACATATTAATAAAAAATGAAAAGCTGAAATGTCTTGTCAATAAGTATTCAACCCCTTTGTCAAGCGTAAATAAGTACAGGAGTAAAAATGTGCTTAATACATTGCATGGACCCCCATCTCTGTACCACACACAAGGTCCCCTCAGTTGAGAAGTGAATTTCAAACACCGATTCAACCACAAAGACCAGGTGCCTCGCAAAGAAGTGCACCTATTGGTAGATGGGTGAAAAATTAAAAAAGCAGATACTTAACTTCACCTCAAAGAGATAATCAATTACTTTGGATGGTGTATCAGTACACTCAGTCACAACAAAGAACAGATGTTCTTCCTGACTCCTACACCCAAAGGAAGGAAACCATTTAGGTATTTCACCATGAGGCTAATGGTGATTTTCAAATGGAGTTTAATGGCTGTGATAGGAGAACTCTACAATACAAACCTAAATGAGTGAAAAGAAGGAAGCCCATTCAGAATACAAATATTCCAAAACATGCATCCTGTTTGCAATAAGGCACTAAAGTAATACTGCAAAGAATGTGGCAAATAAATGAACTTCTTGTCCTGAATACAAAGAGTTACAGTGAGGGAAAAAAGTATTTGATCCCCTGCTGATTTTGTACGTTTGCCCACTGACAGACATGATCAGTCTATAATTTTAATGGTAGGTTTATTTGAACAGTGAGAGACAGAATAACAACAACAAAATCCAGAAAATACATGTCAAAAATGTTATAAATTGATTTGCATTTGAATGAGGGAAATAAGTATTTGACCCCTCTGCAAAACATGACTTAGTACTTGGTGGCAAAACCCTTGTTGGCAATCACAGAGGTCAGACGTTTCTTGTAGTTGGCCACCAGGTTTGCACACATCTCAGGAGGGATTTTGTCACACTCCTCTTTGTAGATCTTCTCCAAGTCATTAAGGTTTCGAGGCTGACTTTTGGCAACTCGAACCTTCAGCTCCCTCCACAGACTTTCTATGAGATTAAGGTCTGGAGACTGGCTAGGCCACTCCAGGACCTTAATGTGCTTCTTCTTGAGCCACTCCTTTGTTGCCTTGGCCGTGTGTTTTGGGTCATTGTCATGCTGGAATACCCATCTACGACCCATTTTCAATGCCCTGACTGAGGGAAGGAGGTTCTCACCCAAGATTTGACGGTACATGGCCCCGTCCATCGTCCCTTTGATGCGGTGAAGTTGTCCTGTCCCCTTAGCAGAAAAACAAAGCATAATGTTTCCACCTCCATGTTTGACGGTGGGGATGGTGTACTTGGGGTCATAGGCAGCATTCCTCCTCCTCCAAACACGGCGAGTTGAGTTGATGGCAAAGAGCTCGATTTTGGTCTCATCTGACCACAACACTTTCACCCAGTTCTCCTCTGAATCATTCAGATGTTCATTGGCAAACTTCAGACGGGCCTGTATATGTGCTTTCTTGAGCAGGGGGACCTTGCGGGCGCTGCAGGATTTCAGTCCTTCACGGCGTAGTGTGTTACCAATTGTTTTCTTGGTGACTATGGTCCCAGCTGCCTTGAGATCATTGACAAGATCCTCCCGTGTAGTTCTGGGCTGATTCCTCACCGTTCTCATGATCATTGCAACTCCACGAGGTGAGATCTGTTGTCACCTTCTCACCAAGCTGCTTGGCGACGGTCTTGTAGCCCATTCCAGCCTTGTGTAGGTCTACAATCTTGTCCCTGACATCCTTGGAGAGCTCTTTGGTCTTGGCCATGTTGGAGAGTTTGGAATCTGATTGATTGCTTCTGTGTACAGGTGTCTTTTTATACAGGTAACAAACTGAGATTAGGAGCACTCCCTTTACGAGTGTGCTCCTAATCTCAGCTCATTACCTGTATAAAAGACACCTGGGAGCCAGAAAACTCTGTTCTGATTGAAGAGGGGGTCAATACTTATTTCCCTAATTTAAAATGCAACATCATTTAACTAACCCCATTTTTGACATGTGTTTTTCTGGATTATTTTGTTGTTATTCTGTCTCACTGTTCAAATAAACCTACCATTAAAATTATAGACTGATCATGTCTTTGTCAGTGGGCAAACGTACAAAATCAGCAGGGGATCAAATACTTTTTTCCCCTTTACTTGGCTCATTGCGCTCTAGCGACTCCTTGTGGAGGGCCAGGTGTCTGCAGGCTGACTTCGGTCGTCAGTTGAACGGTGTTTCCTCCAACACATTGGTGCAGCTGGTTACCGGGTTAAGCGGGCGGGTGTTAAGAAGCGTGGTTTGGTGGGTCATGTTTCGGAGGACGCATGACTCAACCTTCGCCTCTCCCGAGCCCGTTGGGGAGTTGCAGCGATGAGACATTGGGGAGAAAAAGGGGGTAACCTTAGACAGTCCCTTCAATACGCAACTTTTTGATTAGGTTTATTTGTTAAACATTTCACTGAAGTAAATTATTTTCTCGGCATACCGACCCACACCATTTATTTCAAGGGATATGTTGCCTGGACACTTTCCGCTCTCAAATTGGATGATTAACTTTGTTACCAACATACAGTTGAAGTCGGAAGTTTACATACACCTTAGCCAAATACATTTAAACTCAGTTTTTCACAATTCCTGACATTTAATCCTAGTAAAAATTCACTGTCTTAGGTCAGTTAGGATCATCACCACTTCATTTTAACAATGTGAAATGTCAGAATAATAGTAGAGTGATTCATTTCAGCTTTTATTTCTTTCATCACATTCACAGTGGGTCAGAAGTTTACATACACTCAATTAGTATTTTGTAGCATTGCCTTTAAATTGTTTAACTTGGGTCAAATGTTTCGGGTAGCATTTTACAAGCTTCCCACAATAAGTTGGGTGAATTTTGGCCCGTTCCTCCTGACATAGCTGGTGTAACTGAGTCGGGTTTGTAGGCCTCCTTGCTCGCACACGCTTTTTCAGTTCTGCCCACACATTTTCTATAGGATTGAGGTCAGGGCTTTGTGATGGCCACTCCAATACCTTGACTTTGTTGTCCTTAAGCCATTTTGTCACAACTTTGGAAGTATGCTTGGGGTCATTGTCCATTTGGAAGACCCATTTGCGACCAAGTTTTAACTTCCTGACTGATGTCTTGAGATGTTGCTTCAATATATCCACATAATTTTCCTTCCTCATGATGCCATCTATTTTGTGAAGTGCACCAGTTCCTCCTGCAGCAAAGCACCCCCACAGCATGATGCTGCCACCCCTGTGCTTCACGGTTGGGATTGTGTTCTTCGGCTTGCAAGCAAACCCCCTTTTTCCTCCAAACATAACGATGGTCATTATGGCCAAACAGTTCTATTTTTGTTTCATCAGACCAGAGGACATTTCTCCAAAAAGTGCAATCCTTGTCCCCATGTGCAGTTGCAAACCGTAGTCTGGCTTTTTTATGGCGGTTTTGGAGCAGTGACTTCTTCCTTGCTGAGCGGCCTTTCAGGTTATGTCGATATAGGACTCGTTTTACTGTGGCTATAGATACTTTTGTACCTGTTTCCTCCAGCATCTTCACAAGGTCCTTTGCTGTTGTTCTGGGATTGAATTGCACTTTTCACACAAGTATGTTCATCTCTAGGAGACGAAACGCGTTTCCTTCCTGAGCAGAATGACGGCTGCGTGGTCCCATGTGTTTATACTTGCATACTATTGTTTGTACAGATGAACGTGGTACCTTCAGGCGTTTGGAAATTGCTCCCAATGATGAACCAGACTTGTGGAGGTCTACAACTTTCTGAGGTCTTGGCTGATTTCTTTTGATTTTCCAATGATGTCAAGCAAAGAGGCACTGAGTTTGAAGGTAGGCCTTGAAATACATCCACAGGTACACCTCAAATTGACTCAAATGATGTCAATTAGCCTATCAGAAGCTTCTAAAGCCATGACATCATTTTCTGGAATTTTCCAAGCTGTTTAAAGGCACAGTCAACTTAGTGTATGTAAACTTCTGACCCACTGGAATTGTGATAAGTGAAATAATCTGTCTGTAAACAATTGTTGGAAAAATTACTTGTGTCATGCACAAAGTAGATGTCCTAACCGACTTGCCAAAACTATAGTTTGTTAGCAAGAAATTTGTGGAGTGGTTGAAAACCGAAATGTATGTAAACTTCCGACTTCAACTGTACATAAATGCATATATAATACCGTTCAAAGGTTTGGGGTCACTTAGAAATGGCCAATAAAAATAAAAGATTGATGGGCAGTCTGAGATATGGCTTTTCTTTGCTACTCTGCCTAGAAGGTCAGCATCCCGGAGTCGCCTCTTCACTGTTGACGTTGAGACTGGTGTTTACACTGTATTTCTGATCAATTTGATGTTATTTTAATGGACAAAAAAATGACATTTCTAAGTGACCCCAAACTTCTGAACGGTAGTGTGTGTGTATATACAGTGGGGAGAACAAGTATTTGATACGCTGCCGATTTTGCAGGTTTTCCTACTTACAAAGCATGTAGAGGTCTGTAATTTTTATCATAGGTACACTTCAATCCAGAAAATCACATTGTATGATTTTTAAGTAATTAATTTGCATTTTATTGCATGACATAAGTATTTGATCACCTACCAACCAGTAACAATTCCGGCTCTCACAGACCTGTTAGTTTTTCTTTAAGAAGCCCTCCTGTTCTCCACTCATTACCTGTATTAACTGCACCTGTTTGAACTCGTTACCTGTATAAAAGGCACCTGTCCACACACTCAATCAAACAGACTCCAACCTCTCCACAATGGCCAAGACCAGCGAGCTGTGTAAAGACATCAGGGATAAAATTGTAGACCTGCACAAGGCTGGGATGGGCTACAGGACAATAGGCAAGCAGCTTGGTGAGAAGGCAACAACTGTTGGCGCAATTATTAGAAAATGGAAGAAGTTCAAGATGACGGTCAATCACCCTCGGTCTGGGGCTCCATGCAAGATCTCATCTCGTGGGGCATCAATGATCATGAGGAAGGTGAGGGATCAGCTCAGAACTACACGGCAGGACCTGGTCAATGACCTGAAGAGAGCTGGGACCACAGTCTAAAAAAAAAACACTCTACACATACTACGCCGTCATGGATTAAAATCCTGCAGCGCACGCAAGGTCCCCCTGCACACGCCAGCGCATGTCCAGGCCCGTCTGAAGGTTGCCAATGACTATCTGGATGATCCAGAGGAGGAATGGAAGAAGGTCATGTGGTCTGATGAGACAAAAATAGAGCTTTTTGGTCTAAACTCCACTTGCCGTGTTTGGAGGAAGAAGAAGGATGAGTACAACCCCAAGAACACCATCCCAACCGTGAAGCATGGAGGTGGAAACATCATTCTTTGGGGATGCTTTTCTGCAAAGGGGACAGGACGACTGCACCGTATTGAGGGGAGGATGGATGGGGCCATGTATCGTGAGATCTTGGCCAACAACCTCCTTCCCTCAGTAAGAGCATTGAAGATGGGTCGTGGCTGGGTCTTCCAGCATGACAACGACCCGAAACACACAGCCAGGGCAACTAAGGAGTGGCTCCGTAAGAAGCATCTCAAGGTCCTGGAGTGGCCTAGCCAGTCTCCAGACCTGACCAATAGAAATCTTTGGAGGGAGCTGAAAGTCCGTATTGCCAGCGACAGCCCCCGAAACTGAAGGATCTGGAGAAGGTCCTGTATGGAGGAGTGGGCCAAAATCCCTGCTGCAGTGTGTGCAAACCTGGTCACGACCTACAGGAATGTAATGATCTCGTAATTGCAACACAGTTTTTCTGTACCAAATAATTAAGTTCTGCTTTTCTGATTATCAAATACTTATTTCTGCAATAAAATGCAAATTAATTACTTAAAAATCATACAATGTGATTTTCTGGATCACTTGTTCTCCCCACTGTATATATGTTATCATCCAGAGTCACATTTTCTGTTTATTTTCAAAGCTATAGCACACAGAATTTTACATACAGCAGGTTTTTAAAGGACCAAAGAGTTTGGACCGCTTCGTGTTTTCATTTTTGCCATGGAAAAAAATATTGTGATACTGGTATTGTCACAGCCCTAGGATTGGGGGAGTGGAAGTTGATCCACATCTGTACCTAAGGGAAACTTAACCTTGGTGCTGTTCTGATGAGGTCTCAAGGGATCTAAAGCACAATATTACGCCTAGGCCTGCATAACCTCCCCCTCCCTCCACTCCATCGCCACCGTTTCTCAACTCCCCAGCCCTTTCATTTGAGGCCACTTTCCTCCAATCCTCTTCTCCCACCATCCAACAAGCCAACTCTGCCCCTCATCCCCTGGTGTGGGAACCTGCACCTGTGGCAGTCTCACCCCACATCGAATCCCTCCCCCGCACCATGCTGTCTAGTCTGCTCCCTCAGCCTGTAGCCGCCACCACCACCCACCAGACCCCACCTGATTGACAAGGTGTGAGCCAATTAGACCTCCCTATTTAGCCGAAGTCTGAGTGGTGGACTTTGTTGTAAACATACAGTACTAGTCAAAAGTTTGGACACCTACTCATTCCAGGGTTTTTCTTTATTTTTACTATTTTTTACATTGACATTTTAGTCATTTAGCAGACGCTCTTATCCAGAGCCACTTACAGTTAGTGAGTGCATACATTTTCATACTGGCCCCCCTTGGGAAACGAACCCACAACCCTGTCGTTGCAAGCGCCATGCTCTACCAACTGAGCTACAGGGGACTACATTGTAGAAAAAATGTGAAGACATCAACAGTATGAAATAACACATTGAATCATGTAGTAACCAAGTAAGTCTTAAACAAATCAAAATATATTTGAGATTCTTCAAAGTAGCCACCCTTTGCCTTGATGACAGTTTTGCACACTCTTGGCATTCTCTCAACCAGCTTCATGAGGTAGTCACCTGGAATTCATTTCAATTAACAGGTGTGCCATGTTAATTTGTGGAATTTCTTTCCTTAATGTGTTTGAGACAATCAGTTGTGTTGTGACTAGGTAGGGGTGGTATACAGAAGATCGCCCTATTTGGTAAAAGACCAAGTCCATATTATGGCAAGAACAGCTCAAATCAGCAAAGAGAAATGACAGTCCATCATTACATTTTACATTTACATTTTAGACATTTAGCAGACGCTCTTATCCAGAGCGACTTACAGTTAGTGAATACATATTTTTTTATTTTTTTTATACTGGCCCCCCGTGGGAAACGAACCCACAACCCTGGCGTTGCAAACGCCATGCTCTATCAACTGAGCTACATCCCTGCCGGCCATTCCCTCCCCTACCCTGGACGACGCTGGGCCAATTGTGCGCCGCCCATGAGTCTCCCGGTCGCGGCCGGCTGCGACAGAGCCTGGATTCGAACCAGGATCTCTAGTGGCACAGTTAGCACTGCGATGCGGCGCCTTAGACCACTGCGCCACTCAGGAGACATCATCACTTTAAGACATGAAGGTCAGTCAATCCGGAAATTCCAAGAACTTTGAACGTTTCTTCACATGCAGTCGCAAAAACCATCAAGTGTTATAATGAGACTGGCTCTCATGAGGACCGCCACAGGAAAGGAAGACCCAGAGTTACCTCTGATGCAGAGGATAAGTTCATTAGAGTTACCAGCCTCAGAAATTGCAGCCCAAATAAATGCTTCACAGAGTTCAAGTAACAGACACATCTCAACATCAACTGTTCAGAGGAGACTGCGTGAATCAGGCCTTAATGGTCGAATTGCTGCAAAGAAACCACTACTAAAGGACACCAATAATAAGAAGAGACTTTGCTTGGGTCAAGAAACATGAGCAATGGACATTAGACCGGTGGAAATCTGTCATTTGGTCTGATGAGTCCAAATTTGATATTTTTGGTATTTTGTGAGACGCAGAGTAGGTGAACGGATGATCTCCGCATGTGTGGTTCCCACCGTGAAGCATGGAGGAGGTGTGAGGGTGCTTTGCTGGTGACATTGTCAGAGATTTTTTTCAAATTCAAGGCCACACTTAACTAGCATGGCTACCACAGCATTCTGCAGCGATACGCCATCCCATCTGGTTTGCACTTGGGACTAACACACCTCCTGGCTGTGTAAGGGCTATTTGACCATAAAGGAGAGTGATGGAGTGCTGCATCAGATGACCTGGCCTCCACAATCACCCAACCTCAACCCAATTGAGAAGTTTGGGATGAGTTGGACCGCAGAGTGAAGGAAAAGCAGCCAACAAGTGCTCAGCGTGTGTGGGAACTCCTTCAAGACTGTTGGAAAAGCGTTCCTGGTGAAGCTGGTTGAGAGAATGCCAAGAGTGTGCAAAGCTGTCAAGGCAAAGGGTGGCTACTTTGAAAAATCTAAAATATATTTTGATTGAACACTTTTTTTGGGTTACTACATGATTCCATATGTGTTTTCATAGTTTTGATGTCTTCTCTATTATTCTACAATGTAGAAAATAGTAAAAAATTAAGAAAAACCCATGAATGAGTAGGACTGGTACTGTAACGCTTTATTGGTCAGGGGGTGTAAGGCTTCTCGTTCTCCATATCCCCCTATACGTTTTTAAGTCCTGTAATCCTCTAAGGAAGGGTCTATGTGTGTGTCGAGCATCCAAGGGCACTTGGGGTTTTCTTGTGCGTGTGAACTATGTTCTTACTAACACACTTTAGAACAGCGGTCTAGTATTGTGGTTCCCAGTCTTGTCTATATACGTGTTTAGATGTCATATGATCAGCAGCAAACGGCTCCTATCGCCTGGGGTGTACAACATGGGGAGAACATCGGGTTCATCTCATTTATAATGTTGTGTGTGTGTGTGTAATGCACTTGCAAAGCACTTAACCCTAATGTGCTCCAGGGGTGCCGTACTACTATGGCTGACCCTGTAAAACGACACGTTTCACTGCAGCTATCCGGTGTATGTGACAATATAAATGTTTTATTTAAAAAAATGTGTATGCTTGTGTGCCCACAAGCATGTGGGTGGGGGTATTGGTGTTTGTAGGTATATTTGAGCTCTCAACGTGTGTGTGTGTGTGTTGTGCCTGGAATGCGGAGCACCGGTGTCTCTTTAGGGGAGGGGGGGGATGGTTGACAGTGTTGGGGACCGAGAGTCTTTGTTCCATCCCCCCCCCCCCCCCCCCCCCCCATCCATCTATCCATCCATCGCTCGCTCCATCCATTTTGGCAGCTGTCACTTAATCCATCTAATCACTGAGGGAGAGGGTGTGTGTTAAACGAGACTGACTGGCCCTCTCTTCGCTCGCGCGCAACTGACGCTGTCTCTCTCCTGATGCTAACATCACTCTCTTTATGACATACTCACACAAGAATACAGACACTCTCTCGCGCTACCGCTCTGTTTTTCTCACATACACACAAACACGTAATAGAAACACACACACACACACACACACACACACACACACACACACACACACACACACACACACACACACACTCCCCTCTTGCGCTAACAAGTCTCTCACTCACACACACACACGCATACCCCCCCCCCCCACACACACACGGATGCACACATCTTATACACAGATAATCACCATTCCGGACCCCCATTAATGTACATATTCATACGAGGCCCCTCACGCATGGACACACACTCAGACAGGGGCGGGGGGGGGGATGGGCGGAAAGGTCAGAAGCCGCGCTGCATGTCGTGGGATGATCCATGTTCATGTCAAATAATCCATCTTTGGCGAGGCGCATCTGTTGTGTGTCTGCATCGGACAGGAGGGTGGCAGACAGGCAGCAATCCTACGCGCGCCATAGCCAAGCCCCCTGTCCCCAGCCTGCCTCTCTTACACACACACACACACCCCCAGACAACACACTTTAATCCCACAGCAGTGCACAGCCAGCCAGCCAGTAGGATTCCCTCGATCAGATCAACAACAAACACACACACACACACCACCATCCCCCCCCCCCCCCTTTTTCTCTCTCTCTCTGTGCCTCTCCCCCGTCATACTAACTTTACGATCTCCCTCATTAGACACACAGTGCCGTTATCATAGCCACAGAGTTAGTCATAAATACTGGAGACCTGCCCATGACGTTTGACATGATGACAGTGGTTGTGTGACGTACTGCAAAGAGGCTATTTAGGTCAGCTGGTTGCTTAGCAGTGTGCCCTGCTGGCCAGCTAGATTTTTACCCCAGCGGTGGTCATGTTATGACGCTGTGTTTGCGGTCGGTTATTGTAAGCTGTTGCGTCAGCTGTAGAGACCGCTTGTGACGTTTTGTTACATCACATTGGCAATGGTGGAGGGTAGTAGGACTAACGACGTGGGTTGAATGTAGTGGTTGCAAAGTGTTATTGGCCCGGTCCAGACAGCAACAACCCTTAGCCCCTAGAGGCACGTATAGATTTGAAACCATTGCGTAGGTGTAAGTAATATGAAAATGTCAAATTTGCCTACCAGAGGACAAAGTGGATCTACAACTATATTGGTTGTTATCCAATCTTTCTATTAAATGCCTATAGGGGGAGTAGTCTGGATGAGTTGTTCCGTTTCACTTCACGATTTCATTCCCAGAGGGGGGGTGGGAGGGAGGAAAAGGGACGTGTCTGAGTCTGACCCTGTTTCTGCTCCCCATCACCTGACTGATGGTACAGTATCCTCAGTTAATCATGGTATATCCTACACTGAGTGTATAAAACATTAGGAACTGTGTAACATTGTGGTCCTCTGTAGCTCAGCTGGTAGAGCACGGCGCTTGTAACGCCAAGGTAGTGGGTTCGATCCCCGGGACCACCCATACACAAAAAAAAAATGTATGCACGCATGACTGTAAGTCGCTTTGGATAAAAGCGTCTGCTAAATGGCTTATTATTATTATAATATTATTATTATATTAGGAACACCTGCTCTTTCTATGACAGGCTGACCAGGTCAATCCAGGTGAAAGCTATGAGCACGTATTGATGTCACTTGTTAAATCCACTTCAATCAGTGTAGATGAAGAGGAGGAGACAGGTTAAAGAAGGATTTTTAAGCCTTGGTATGGTAGTAGGTGCAAGGTGCACCGGTTTGAGTGTGTCAAGAACTGCAACGCTGCTGGGTTTTTCACATTCAACAGTTTGCCGTGTGTATCAAGAATGGTCCACCACCCAAAGGACATCCAGCCAACTTGACACAACTGTGGGAAGCATTGGAGTCAATATGGGCCAGCATCCCTGTGGAACGCTTTCGACAACTTGTAGAGTCCATGCCCAAATTGAGGAAAAAAACCCCAGAAAATCACATTGTAGGATTTTTAATGAATTTATTTGCAAATTATGGTGGAAAATAAGTATTTGGTCACCTACAAACAAGCAAGATTTCTGGCTCTCACAGACCTGTAACAACTTCTTTAAGAGGCTCCTCTGTCCTCCACTCGTTACCTGTATTAATGGCACCTGTTTGAACTTGTTATCAGTATAAAATACACCTGTCCACAACCTCAAACAGTCACACTCCAAACTCCACTATGGCCAAGACCAAAGAGCTGTCAAAGGACACCAGAAACAAAATTGTAGACCTGCACCAGGCTGGGAAGACTGAATCTGCAATAGGTGTGGTCCTCTGTAGCTCAGCTGGTAGAGCACGGCGCTTGTAACGCCAGGGTAGTGGGTTCAATCCCCGGGACCACCCATACACAAAAAAAAAATGTATGCACGCATGACTTGTAAGTCGCTTTGGATAAAAGCGTCTGCTAAATGGCTTATTATTATTATTATTATTATTATTATTATTATTATTATTATTATTATGATGTAAGCAGCTTGGTTTGAAGAAATCAACTGTGGGAGCAATTATTAGGAAATGGAAGACATACAAGACCACTGATAATCTCCCTCGATCTGGGGCTCCACGCAAGATCTCACCCCGTGGGGTCAAAATGATCACAAGAACGGTGAGCAAAAATCCCAGAACCACACGGGGGGACCGAGTGAATGACCTGCAGAGAGCTGGGACCAAAGTAACAAAGCCTACCATCAGTAACACACTACGCCGCCAGGGACTCAAATCCTGCAGTGCCAGACGTGTCCCCCTGCTTAAGCCAGTACATGTCCAGGCCCGTCTGAAGTTTGCTAGAGTGCATTTGGATGATCCAGAAGAGGATTGGGAGAATGTCATATGGTCAGATGAAACCAAAATATAACTTTTTGGTAAAAACTCAACTCGTCGTGTTTGGAGGACAAAGAATGCTGAGTTGCATCCAAAGAACACCATACCTACTGTGAAGCATGGGGGTGGAAACTTCATGCTTTGGGGCTGTTTTTCTGCAAAGGGACCAGGACGACTGATCCTTGTAAAGGAAAGAATGAATGGGGCCATGTATCGTGAGATTTTGAGTGAAAACCTCCTTCCATCAGCAAGGGCATTGAAGATGAAACGTGGCTGGGTCTTTCAGCATGACAATGATCCCAAACACACCGCCCGGGCAACGAAGGAGTGGCTTCTTAAGAAGCATTTCAAGGTCCTGGAGTGGCCTAGCCAGTCTCCAGATCTCAACCCCATAGAAAATCTTTGGAGGGAGTTGAAAGTCCGTGTTGCCCAGCGACAGCCCCAAAACATCACTGCTCTAGAGGAGATCTGCATGGAGGAATGGGCCAAAATACCAGCAACAGTGTGTGAAAACCTTGTGAAGACTTACAGAAAACGTTTGACCTGTGTCATTGCCAACAAAGGGTATATAACAAAGTATTGAGAAACTTTTGTTATTGACCAAATACTTATTTTCCACCATAATTTGCAAATACATTTTTCCTCAATTTGTCTGTCATAGTTGACGTGTACATATGATGAAAATTACAGGCCTCTCTCATCTTTTTAAGTGGGAGAACTTGCACAATTGGTGGCTGACTAAATACTTTTTTCCCCCACTGTAAATGCCTTAATCGGCGCATGTGCTAGCACCAGCCGAGCGAGCCTCCCTCTTTAGCGCGAGTTAAGTGAGTTCAGAACAACTGACAGTATGTGAAAACTACCTAAGCATACAAACTTTTTATGTCCGAAATCAATCAAATATGCTTAGCAAAAATAACATGGTCGCTGTGGAAGAACGTTTATTTTGATTGCCGGTTTTCTTCATTTATCGGAGTGCCATCAGGTAGCCTGATTTCAGATGTGTCCATGTAAACAGGATTAATAGAGAAATCCTTCTTCTTGAAAAGCATGTACATTTTAATCAAACTATTATATTAATCTGACTGACTATCCACAATAATCGCATTGTGTGCATGTAACCGCACTCACTGTTTTTAAAGTCACCATTGGCCTCATGGTGAAATCCCTGACCGGTTTCCTTTCTCTCCGGCAACTGTGTTAGGAAAGACGCCTGTATCTTTGTACTGACTGGGTGTATTGATTCACCATACAAAGTGTAATTAACTTCACCATATTCATATTCAAAGGGGTATTCAATGTCTGCTTTTTAAAAAATTTACCCATCTACCAATAGGTGCCCTTTTGTGAGGCATTGGATAACCTCCCTGGTCTTTGGTTGAAATCCTATTTGAAATGAACTGCTTGACTGAGGGACCTTACATATAATTGTATGTGTGGGGTACAGAGATGAGGTAGTCATGAAAAAAATCATGTAAAACACTATTATTGCACGGAGTGAGTCCATGCAACTTATGTGACATTTTTACTCCTGAACTTATTTAGGCTTGCCATAACAATGGGGTTGAATACTTATTGACAAAATATGTAAGCTTTTCATATTTTTAATTTTTTGCAAACTTTTCCAAAAACATAATTACAATTTGACATTATGGGGTATTTTCTGAAGGCACTGTATATTATACCTACAACCCAATGTTATGTTTTAAATCTTTAAACATCTTTAATTAGGGTCAAAGTTTGAACAATTGATTTTTTTTTTTTATTACTCTTAGTTAACTACATAAAACCATGTGATTAACTATTTATTTGTGTAATAATTTGACAGCCCTATTTTCAACGCACACACATTGTGCATAGGCCATGTGGCTCCCATGGCTCTCTTTTTTTCAGGCAAAGTTCACCTGTGGCGCATTCCTAGTCGAGGGGTAACACTCTTTGGCAGAATGCACACGTTAGAGCCCCGATGGTCATGAGTTCAATCCCTGCCTTCGCCTTTCCAGCATTCTCTCTTTGTAACTTCTATCCCCCATCCATTTCAATAATGTCTCAATAAAGCTCGAAATGTGCATAGATATAATGTATCAATAAAGTTCGAAATGTGCACGGAAGGTGGAATTACACTGATAATGCCTTTTGTAAATTGTTCTTTATTTGTTGTTTCCAGAGAATATGACTGACTCTCTCCATCTCTCTGTCTAGCGGGCGTACACCCTCATCGTAGAGGCCTGGGACTGGGACAACTCCACCCGCAACAGTGAGTACAAGAATGCATACACCCACTCGCCCTGTCTTTCCTTGCCATTACAATGGTTACAGCTGTTGTGCAATTTTTGGAGACACTTTATTGACACGGCAGCGCTTCTGTAGCTAGCAGAATAGAATTGGAGCATTTGCTAACTAAGTGTAAACGGTTTTAGCTGGCTAGCTAATCATCTTGGCTAACTTTGGGAAGTGAAACAATTCACTTATTTACTGATGATTAGCCATTGGAAATCTCTTTGCCATTTTGGAGACTGCTAGTTTAGTGTCTCCAGTAATGTTTGTCACAATTTGTAACGTCTCCACTTTCCAATCGTATAATGGTCCCACCTGACCAAAGGGAACATCAGAGGGTAGCTAGGTGGCCATTGTTTTAGTTCCTTGGAGTTTAGATTAATGGAAGTGATGCAATTTTAGATTAAATGTACTGCTCCTCTGTAGGGAGATAAGGGGTTTAGGTGTGTAGCAGTGGGTTGCTCAGATATCTGGAAATGTCCTGGCTTGCCTCGACCAAAACACCTGGAGTGCCATGGGCTCGACAGTAAAAAATTTAAATTTCTTCAAACAGTTTTTTAGCCTAATAAATCCTCAATGGAGTTATATTAAAAAATATATAATAATTGAGCAAAGTGTTCAAGGCTGGAGTGAGTGTGTGTGCGTGCAACTACATGTGTTTGCATGCTCGCCCCACTTTTGCCACATGGGCATGTCCTTTTTTGATAGGATTGGGGTCCCTACCACAAATCCGGTGATCGTAGAACATTTTGGTGTCGGATACTCTGTCAACCCCCTCGCACAGACCGGTCTGCTCCTACCTTGACAGAACATAGACATTAAGTCCTAGCTCTGCATAACAATCTATAGGCCAATTGGTGGAAATGTCTAGAGAAAACCCTGTATGGATCTTTGCTCCGAGGGTCTGCCACTGCTCGCTCCGTGCGCCACCTTTCGGCAGCTGTATCCTGTTTTCTCTCTGGGCTGTCCTCTGGGTGTGCTCCCATCTCCCCTTTTTGCCGCTTGAGGAAGTGTTGGGAGGAAGGCGCAGCACTGATGGAGGAATGTAGCATATGTGAGAAGAGGTGGTGGTGGACGCTAGTGTCTGTGCGTGTGGCCCTTTGACTGTCCTACTGAACATACTACTAACTGCACAGACTACTGAATGCATTGATTGTGTATCCTGGTGAACGCTGCATGTACTGTAACTGCTGCACTTTGCATTGACCTTTCACGTTTAGGCGGCGGTCAGAAAGGGATTGTATAAATCTGTAAAAAAATGGATGATCCAATAGCTTTTCAGTGGCTCGTATGTTGACGGAAGACAATGAGGACGGAGAGCATCCACACTTATTATGCAACTTGTTACTTTTGATGGACTAATGTAAATGTGTACATGCTTTTCATCCGTTTTTCGTCAGTGTCTGTCTGGCCACGGCCTGATGCGTCATTCACATTAACCATAAGTACTCTGTTACGTTGCGCCGGATGTCAATCATTTGAATGGGGACCGTCCATAGTGTGGAATCGCAATGCCCCCTTGCGGTTGAAGGCTCCGTTTGGAGACGGATACTCTGCGTCTTCAGTCCGGCCAGAGTCCATCGATTAACAGGAAGTTACCAAACCACAGAAGATGAAAATATGTGGTTTATGGGATAGCTAGCAACTTGTAAACAATTACCCATTCCTATAAGTGAGTACTATTTTATGTTAAAAAGAATAAACATTTAAGCCAATTATACTTTCTGTTGTGTCCCCTTTTAGTTTGTGATTGTAATGCCGTTTGTTTTTGATGATTATTAGGTGGAGGTCGCTAGCTACAGTAAAGCCTAGCTTTTAGCTAGCTAGCTGCTCTGTAAGATGGCTTGACTTGCTAGAACGTTATAGAAACAAGTTGAGGAAAAAGTAACTAAACAAAATATTTTATCAACTGAAACGATATGTTTCTCCTGTCTTGAATGGAAATGTTATATTTAGCAATCTCCCATATTAAATGCGATCTCTGACAAGAGACTCCATCTTGTCTTGCGTTGTGAAACAACGAGATTGAGTGAAGTTGACATACGGCGTAATGAAATGCGTCACGATGCAAACGGGGCATTAGTCCTAGTTTACTTGTTGAAATTAAATGAGTGTGGCTGTAAGCCATTAAGGCAGACTTAGCTGACTGGGTGGCTAGCTACTGGCTAATTAGCTCTGCAGCTGCAGCGCTAGCCCTTTAGCCCCATGCTGATGTCACCATGCTCTAATGGCTGCCAAACTGCAAAGTACTGTGGCATCCACATGAACTCAGCAGCAGCTCTGTCAATCGGTCTGTATGAGTTTGAGTTGGTTTGATTTATTTTATTATTATAGTTTCATGCATATTCAGGATGCATAGCCCACATGGGCTTATAAGACACATTGCTATAGCAAAATTAAATAATCATATATGTCAATCTATTCATCTACACTACATGGACAAATGTATATGGACACCCCTTCAAATTAGTGGATTCGGCTATTTCAGCCACACCCGTTGCTGACCGGTGTATAAAATCGTGCACACAGCCATGCAATCTCCATAGACAAACATTGGCAGTAGAATGGCCCGTACTGAAGAGCTCAGTGACTTTCAACGTGGCACCTTCATAAGATGCCACCTTTCCAACAAGTCAGTTTGTCAAATTTCTGCCCTGCTAGAGTTGCCCCGGTCAACTGTAAGTGGTGTTATTGTGAAGTGGAAACCCGGGGGGGGGGGTGGGAGAGAATTTGTTTACATCCCTGTTAGTGAACATTTCTCCTTTGCCAAGATAATCCATCCACTTGACAGGTGTGGGATATCAAGAAGCTGATTAAACGGCATGATCATTACACAGGTGCACCTTGTGCTGGGGACAATAAAAGGCCACTCTAAAAGGTGCAGTTTTGTCACACAACACAATGCCCCAGATGTTTCAAGTTTTGAGGGAGAGCGTGCAATTGGCATGCTGACTGCAGAAATGTCCACCAGAGCTGTTGCCAGAGAATTGAATGTTAATTTCTCTACCATAAGCTGCCTCCGATATAATTTTAGGGAATTTGGCAGTACGTGCAACCGGCCTCACAACCGCAGACCACGTGTATGACGTCGTGTGGACGAGCGGTTTGCTGATGTCAATGTGAAGAGTGCCCCATGGTGGCGGTGGGGTTATGCTATGGGCAGGCATAAGCTACGGACAACAAACACACTTGCATTTCATCAATGACAATTTGAATGCACAGAGATACGGTGACGAGATCCCGAGGCCCATTGTCGTGCCATCACCTCATATTTCAGCATGATAATGCATGGCCCCATGTCGCAAGGATCTGTACACAATTCCTGGAAGCCGAAAATGTCCCAGTTCTTCCATGGCCTGCATACTCACCAGACATGTCACCAATTGAGCATGTTTGGGATGCTCTAGATCGAGGTGTACGACAGCATATTCCAGGTCCAGCCAATATCCAGCAACTTCGCATGCACGCACACATGGCAGTGGAAAAACAATTGAGAAAACAAAACAAAAGTTATTGACTTTCAAGTAGTATGTATGTATGTGACAACCAGAGAGGCACAGTAAGATTTAGCATTTGTGTGTGTTGACTCACCAGCATTATGTCCTCCAGTGGGGCCCCCGGGGACCTCAGGAAAGGGCCTGAAAGGCTGTTTGCGTTGTTGTGTTTATCAAGCAGGATGTGCTGCGGACGACTCAGTGTTTAGACACTGAACAGCGCGGCCCGGGGGGGCCATTGTCCTCTATCTGGAAGCACTGGGGGTTATTTCTGTTATTGTTGCTTAATTCGTCTGACGTTGTCAGAGGAAGGTGTGTGTGTGTTTGCGCTCATGAGATTGGGATGTGTGTTGCAAGGGAGGGGGGGCAGTCCGGCGCATTGGGGCAGAGGAAATTGCAGGCCCCGTATTTCCTCTGCGTTTGTCGTCTCCGATCCCACTGTGATAAAGATTGCCTTCTTTGTCGGAGCTGGCAGAGCAGAAAAATGTAATAGTTATTGTGAGCGTAGCGTGCTGTTGGCTAGCAGCTATCCAACCCCCCCCACCGCCTCCCTCCTGATAGACGGCAATGCCCTTTTGGATGCAAAGAGCGTAGCGTTATTAGCATACACCACTGAGGATAAGAAAACGGGCCGTTTTGCTGTAGATTGAGTTGGGTAGTTAAAATTCAGGTGGTCATTTGCCGATTGGACCACCATAGAATACATTTGTGAGCATCTCCCTCACACCACAGATAGATTTTTATCTACTCTTTGTGTTGGTTGTATCTGTATGAACTATTGAGATAACAGTTCAGACTGCTGAGTTGGATGTGGCCGGTCTTCCCAGGTTCATCGGGGCAAGTTGTGTGTCTAGTGGAAGTTGGTTTCCTTTCTTTGGGTCTTCCTTCATTATCACTGATTGAATCGTTGGAAGCAATAAACTAGAATCCAATTTACCAACAGTGGAAAGGAATCCATTTTAGCATTGATGCGCAGTCCTGGTGTATTCTGGCAACCGTCAATGACAATGCCCTAGGTCAAGGGTCACCTTTTGGGTCGACGGCCACATCGGGACTTTGAAATTCAATGAAGGGCCGCACAGTTATTTTTTGGGACCGATTTTTTGTTTTGTTTGTCAAAATCAATTAGCAGGCTAGAAAAATGATAGTTATTTGAAAATGTTATACCCTTGCAAAAGCCATTCTCTGTTGACAATTCCATTGACCCTCAGGACCATTTCAAAAGTTTTTTTATCTTCATAACCTGAAACTTTCGTTTTAATCTTCCTTTTTTGGCAGATGACGAGGAGCTGCTGATCGAGCGGAGCATCCACACAAGCATGATCAACCCTGGTGACCACTGGCAGACCATCCAGCACGATGGGCCCGTGGCGCGCCTCGAGTACCGCATCCGTCTGAAGTGCAATGAGAACTACTATGGCAGCAAGTGCAACAAGCAGTGCCGGCCACGCGACGACTACTTCGGTCACTACCGCTGCGAGCAGTCGGGCAACCGCGTGTGCCTGGAGGGCTGGATGGGCGAAGACTGCCGAACGGGTGAGTTGGTGATCTTGGCACGTTAGCATGTGATCCCAATTCAGCAGATGGGGGGGGGGAATTCCATAATTCCATCAGGTGGCAATGGTATATGGGTACTGGGCATGCTAGCAAGCTCCGAGTGCTATAGGTCTGGCCTATTATTAAATGTGGCCTTTATTAAAAGCCACTCTATGGCCTCCACCGCTTGATAAATGTACATGGCTCGCTCCCCTGCTTTTATAGTCCATTGGTAATCCACCTTGATGTGCTGAATACATGCTTCCAATACAATGTAGTCGGTTTAAAGCTGCTATATGTAACATTTTAGCGATACGTTCAATTCCAATTGTTTTTGTGTATGACTTAGAAAAACACAATGGCTTTGCATTAGTTTCTTCAGAGACTTGCACTATTGTTATATTGTTTTCAACCTCTGAGGACCTCTTTTCTTGTATACGCTGAAGCTGGCTAGCTAGGCCACTCTGACAGTAAAGAAACATAATGTCCATCAGGGCCATACATAGACCTTTGCCCCGACTTTCATTATTCACAACTCGAAATTCATAACGTTCCAACTGCCTCTGTAGCCAAAATGTCAACATTTATAGGCCTATTTATTTTCTGCAACAACAACACTCACTCATCACACATTGTAAGCAAGCTAGTGCCGGTGACTCCTAGGCCTAGAGACGACGAGAGTTGATTGAAATCGGGAAAAGAGTGGCTATCAGCTGATCAGAGCGAATGATGTAGATATGCTAGTTAGCTATGCTTTCAAAACAAACTCCTTCTTTACTTGATTTGAGTTTGTTCTGCTGCTGATATGTCTCTTACTGACAAGCAGTCGAATTGCCCCATTCTTTGTCCCTAACAGTGTGACAGATCCAACTCAAAAGTAGCCTCCTACCAGTATTCAAGTCTCCCTGCCTGGCACCCACAGCCAGTGGCCGCTGCATGCAAGTCAGACGAGTGCACTCTTGGGAGGTGGTATTTTATGAGATTCAAGAGCTTATGAAATTGGCCAGTTTGATGTGCAATTTGTTACATTTAAAATACAAAAATAAGACAAATAAAAAATCCACTAAGCTGCGAGGGCACATTTTCGTAGTAGGGCAAAAGGGCAGGTGCTCGGCAACTGGTTGAGTGCTCTCTGTGCACGATGTCCGTTTTTAATTTTCATCTCAAGGAATGAAATTCCTTTACGACTTTATCATAGACATTATGTGGAGAAGAGATGTTACCGAGTTCACCTTTTAAAGCTTGTTAGACTAGCCACTCCTGTCTATTCCCCCTCATGCTGCAGCTGTGATGTGAAAATAGCATGTTCACACACTGGCACAGAGGCTCTCAGGACTGGGTGTTTCTATGTATCATTCTTCAGTAGGCTACACCTGTCAATCAACTGATCAATGCATCCTACTGCATGCTGTAGACTTATAAATAAGGTGGTAACAGACCATTCAGTGCTTTAGGGCGTGTTCATTGTCATAGTGACAACTGCAATTCATACTTTAATGTACATGTAATAAAACATATTGAAACTCATATTTAAATGTAGCAATTCAACAACAAACACTGTTTAGCCTGCACATCTTTTACATCATGTCATTGCTTGCCTCGTTGCTCAAGTGGTTTGCAAGTGATTTAAAAAAATATATATGGTTGTCAATTTTTTGGGATCTTTTTCACTGTGCTCGTCTGTCCTGGGCAACCATTTGCAATGCATCAGTGCAACAATGTTATCACACCATTGCGCGCTCTCTCTCCTTTCAAACACCCCTATTTTACATTCAGCGAGCAAGCTGGAATCTCTCCTCGATAGGCTAGTAGTACTAATTAAAATGCTATGAATTAAGTGTACAACAAGCAATTGGTGTCTAGTTTTTCCTGGGACTCCCAAGAGCTAAGAAGAGTAGCTGTAGCTGAGAGGCCAGGTGTGTAGATGCGCAGAGAAAACCGTGTAGCCTAAGTTAGAAGCGTATGCAACCCATCATGCATTAGCTAAATATTAGGCCTAATACTTCAGTGAAGCCTATTCCAATGAATTTACAGGGAAAAATATATATAATATAATATTACCAATCAAAAGTTTGGGGTCACTTAGACATTTCCTTGTTTTTGAAAGAATAAATTTTTTTTTTGTCCATTAAAATAACATCAAATTGATCAGAAATACAGTGTAGACATTGTTAATGGCTATTGTAGCTGGAAACGGCTGATTAAAAAAAGAGAGAAAAAAGAGGAATATCTACATAGGCGTACAGAGGCCCATCATCAGCAACCATCAGTCCTGTGTTCCAATGGCACGTTGTGTTTGCATCCCGGAGTCGCCTCTTCACTGTTGACGTTGAGACTGGTGTTTTGCAGGTACTATTTAATGAAGCGGCCAGTTGAGGACCTGTGAGGCGTCTGTTTCTCAAACTAGACACTGTAATGTATTTGTCCTCTTGCTCAGTTGTGCACCGGGGCCTCCCACTCTTTCTGTTCTGGTTAGAGCCAGTTTGCACTGTTCTGTGAAAGGGAGTAGTACACAGCGTTGTACAAGATCTTCAGTTTCTTGGCAGTTTCTCGCATGGAATAGCCTACATTTCTCAGAACAAGAATAGACTGAGTTTCAGAAGAAAGTTATTTGTTTCTGGCCATTTTGTGCCTGTAATCGAACCCACAATTGCTGATGCTCCAGATACTCAACTAGTCTCAAGAAGGCCAGATTTATTGCTTCTTTAATCAGCACAACAGTTTTCAGCTGTGCTAACATAATTGCAAAAGGGTTTTCTAATGATCAATTCACCTTTTTAAATGATAAACTTGGATTAGCAAACACAACGTGCCATTGGAACACAGGACAGATGGTTACTGATAATGGGCCTCTGTACGCCTATGTAGATATTCCGTTTCCAGCTACAATAGCAAGTAGCTACAATTTACAACGTTAACAATGTCTACACTGTATTTCTGATCAATTTGATGATATTTTAATGGACAAAAAAATTGCTTTTCTTTCGAAAACGTGGACATTTCTAAGTGACCCCAAACGTTTGAACGGTTTTGTGTACGTACGTACATACATACATACATACATACATACATACATACATACATACATACATACATACATACATACATACATACATACATACATACATACATACATACATACATACAGTGGGGGAAAAAATAGTATTTAGTCAGCCACCAATTGTGCAAGTTCTCCCACTTAAAAAGATGAGAGCGGCCTGTCATTTTCATCATAGGTACACGTCAACTATGACAGACAAATTGAGAAAAGAAATTCCAGAAAATCACATTGTAGGATTTTTAATGAATTTATTTGCAAATTATGGTGGAAAATAAGTATTTGGTCACCTACAAACAAGCAAGATTTCTGGCTCTCACAGACCTGTAACTTCTTCTTTAAGAGGCTCCTCTGTCCTCCACTCGTTACCTGTATTAATGGCACCTGTTTGAACTTGTTATCAGTATAAAAGACACCTGTCCACAACCTCAAACAGTCACACTCCAAACTCCACTATGGCCAAGACCAAAGAGCTGTCAAGGGACACCAGAAACAAAATTGTAGACCTGCACCAGGCTGGGAAGACTGAATCTGCAATAGGTAAGCAGCTTGGTTTGAAGAAATCAACTGTGGGAGCAATTATTAGGATATGGAAGACATACAAGACCACTGATAATCTCCCTCGATCTGGGGCTCCACGCAAGATCTCACCCCGTGGGGTCAAAATGATCACAAGAACGGTGAGCAAAAATCCCAGAACCACACGGGGGGACCTAGTGAATGACCTGCAGAGAGCTGGGACCAAAGTAACAAAGCCTACCATCAGTAACACACTACGCCGCCAGGGACTCAAATCCTGCAGTGCCAGACGTGTCCCCCTGCTTAAGCCAGTACATGTCCAGGCCCGTCTGAAGTTTGCTAGAGTGCATTTGGATGATCCAGAAGAGGATTGGGAGAATGTCATATGGTCAGATGAAACCAAAATAGAACTTTTTGGTAAAAACTCAACTCGTCGTGTTTGGAGGACAAAGAATGCTGAGTTGCATCCAAAGAACACTATACCTACTGTGAAGCATGGGGGTGGAAACATCATGCTTTGGGGCTGTTTTTCTGCAAAGGGACCAGGACGACTGATCCGTGTAAAGGAAAGAATGAATGGGGCCATGTATCGTGAGATTTTGAGTGAAAACCTCCTTCCATCAGCAAGGGCATTGAAGATGAAACGTGGCTGGGTCTTTCAGCATGACAATGATCCCAAACACACCGCCCGGGCAACGAAGGAGTGGCTTCTTAAGAAGCATTTCAAGGTCCTGGAGTGGCCTAGCCAGTCTCCAGATCTCAACCCCATAGAAAATCTTTGGAGGGAGTTGAAAGTCCGTGTTGCCCAGCGACAGCCCCAAAACATCACTGCTCTAGAGGAGATCTGCATGGAGGAATGGGCCAAAATACCAGCAACAGTGTGTGAAAACCTTGTGAAGACTTACAGAAAACGTTTGACCTGTGTCATTGCCAACAAAGGGTATATAACAAAGTATTGAGAAACTTTTGTTTTTGACCAAATACTTATTTTCCACCATAATTTGCAAATAAATTCATTAAAATCCTACAATGTGATTTTCTGGATTTTTTTTCCTCATTTTGTCTGTCATAGTTGACGTGTACCTATGATGAAAATTACAGGCCTCTCATCTTTTTAAGTGGGAGAACTTGCACAATTGGTGGCTGACTAAATACTTTTTTCCCCCACTGTGTGTGTGTATATATATATATATATATATATATATATATATATATATATATATATATATATATATATATATATATAGATATAGATATAGTTTGCTCCCCAGGCTGCATTCCAGTCCCCGTGGGCACGCAGCTCGACAATCTCCCAAATTTAAGGTTTTTGATCATAACTAGGGTATAACAACACAATGCAATAATGCATTTTATAAAATGTTTCTAGTGAGTAAAGAATTCTAGTCTATGCTGTAAACTGCAGTGAATATGCCATTTCAATAACCGCTAAAAGCCCTGCGTTTTTGAATACATGTTTCATTCCGAAATAATAATCTTTCCTAGGCCTTATTTTAGGCAACCGTTTGGATCAGTAATGGGTCTCTTCTCGACAGTTTACAAGGTCCAGAAAGCCATTAGCAGGCCAGTAGGTGTGTATTTCATCAGGATGTATCGACGTTAACAGATAGACCTACCATCGGAGAAAATAGCCTTCTGTTGCGCTGTTTGTCGTGGATCGTCATTCTCCGAAGTCGTCCTATAAAGAATTGCTCTGAAAGTGATCCAAACGATACCTCTCATTATTCACTCTTTGTAATTATCACTGTAGTGTGAACGCTCCTGTTCACTTGAATTAGAACTAATTAAACATTTTTATTGTTATATTTACCGTCCTTGGTGTGGACTGCCCTTTAGAATGGGCCAGCTGCAGTGTAAAAGAGAGGTAGGGGGGAGTTGGTGGTAGTATGGGGGAGATGGTGGGGCTCACTAAATCACCCGATTTTGACCTTAGTAGTCAAGGGGTTAGAGGAGGGTGGAGAAGAGAGGGGAGGTTTTCTTTGGGGGTCCACGTTGTGTTGCACATGTTTGAGTGAAAGCAAATAAAAGAGCCCCCTACTCCTCCATATGCCCTTCCCTCTCTTACTCTCTTTCCTCCTCTTTCTGGCTCTTTCTCTTAATACTCTCTCTTCTCGTTCACCCTCTTTTACTTTATCTCCCGCTCCTCTTCCACCCTCTCTACTCCCTCCCCCTCTCTCTCACAGCGATCTGCAAGCAAGGCTGCAACCTGTTACATGGAGGCTGCTCAGTCCCGGGGGAATGCAAGTAAGATCCTTTTAACATCTCTCCCTATCACAACTAATTTGAGCTAAGCGATACAAAGTAATATTGTTTTATGACCAAGGTGTTCAGCCTACGATGTAACTTAGAAATATGATATCAATATTTGTGGTTGAGCTGAACTATTAGAATGGAGTCATGAGTGCATTGAGACATGGTCCGTGTCAAATTTTCTTCACAATACAACAGGCTCGTTCTCTTCAGGACAACTCAGGGTATAACTCCATGTCATTTTGTAACTGTACATCAAACATAGTGATCATAAATGTTGACGCTGTATATGAGTTTTATGATATGGAAATGTGAAGTGCACATTTGGACTGGTGTTTTGCTTGCTTGTATGACATCAAAGCGGTATTTATTAGAATCCTCAACGTCTCATCTTTCAAAATACATAGAGTCCTCGTAATTTACAGCATTTCCCCCTCTCAGACAACAAAACATTTGCAAAAGTTTCCCAATTAGCGGTAGGAATGGGGGCAACTTCTTCAGAACGACTGTCAGTCAAAACCCGTACAGAGCTGTGATGCATAGACCGTGAGCTCTGACGTCATGTATAGCATGTTACTGAACAGCCACTGCGTTCCAATTTAGGAGCTTATCAGTGTCCAAATCTGCCCATTTCAACCCGTATAAGGGTACGCGTGTAAAGGGCTACGGAAATGGAGAGCCTGATATATATGGTTCCCTGTGAAGGGAGGATATGACACAACAGGAAATGACACAATATCCTGTCAATCACCTAAACTTCCCGCCTTCCCCCGCCTTCCCAATTCCCCCAACCAACCCCCAGTCTTACAGGATGGACTGACTGGCTTCCCTGCCGTCATCAGGAAGGGAGCACTGGTACGAGCCAGACTATTGCTAACAGACCACTCAGAATGTGCCGGGGTTGAGTGAGCGGCAAACTCACTTCCTCGCTCCGTAACAACGAATCCAAAGGAAAGGCCTCTTCCTAACTCGATCCAAAGTAATTTTTTGTTGAGGCACCTCCCAGCGGGCCCGGACAGTACAGGCAAAAGAAACGTGACAGGGGAATGTGAGGTCTTGAGCTGCTGCGGTTCACTGTGTGGGTGGGTACACAGGCTGTTATATTGGTCGTAGCAATAGACTTGCCCTGACACATAAAAAAAAAAAAAATGAATCAATACAGTAATATGAGATCTGTATGTAAAATACACAGGATACAAATATTACATTCCAGCTAAACAATGGATATATATCGTTTTGTGACAACCCATTTTAATACACATCTAAAAACTGATAATAGTCATATTTTACAGACACATAAAGGTACCCATAAGCATTCATTTCTGAAGAAAAAACACAAATGTAAAAAATGTCTATATAATGTTTTGGAAATACTATGTGATACTACTAGTAAATGCGTATCCTGGCAACCCCATGGGCCGAGTGTACACTTAAGTTTAAATATACACACAATCGCCCTTGGGCAGCCTCATAGGCACACAGAGTTTGGAAAGCTCTCTGGGGGGGGGGATTGGACTGGAGCTGTTTTTGTTGTATAGGCTGGAGACATTAACAGCTATAGTGAAGCTTAGCATAGTTTGTTTCTGTCTTGCTCTTTGGGGTCTAGTACTGTAAAGCACATTTTATAATGTAGAAATACATTTGAATTTGATTCTGGATTTGTTTTTACATAGAACAAATTCACATCTCTTTGTGGCTATATATTGCTGCATAAGGTATCTTTAGTTTGAGTATAAGTGGAGAATGGGCCTAAATGTCTGAACCCTTTATGAGTTTGAAATACCTAGCTTCAATCTTACTTTTATTTATACTCCTACCATGACAACAATGGACGAAGGGGAAACATTTGACTGGCCTCCGATGCAAATTAACTGACTTCAACCATGCAAAAGATCTAACTAATGTTTTGCTTCAACGTTAGCCTGAGGCATTTTACCCGTTAGCGTAGCATTAGCCTTACAACAAGGGGACCTCCCTCTAGTGCAGGGTTGTCAAACATATGGCCCGCAAGCCCATTCAATCTGTCCCACAGGGAAAAACGATCTTAAGCGACATTGAAATGACCGAAACTGTGTAGAAATGATAATGGACCTACATTGTTAGTCTTTTCACTCTGTCCAGCTTGCTAACAGTCATCAAAATGAAAGCTAAAGACAATTTTTGGCAAATTTTGACAGTGAGAAAATATAATACAGTTTAAGTGCAGCACTCTGGACCTTGGTGAAGACCGAATGCGGCCCGCGGGGCGAAACGAGTTTGGCAACTCTGCTCTAGTGGTTAGCATAAATATTCGCACAGCTGCAATGAATGTGCTTGTGTTGGCGCTACTGCTAACAGGACTCCTCAAGCCACTCCTATACGGTGGAGCAGCATGGTAAGTATGCGTCAATTCCCCCTAGTTAGCATGGCTAGTAGTAGAAATTCTGTGCTTGTGTTAGCGTTACTGCTAACAGGACTCTTCTCAAGCCTCCTATACAGTGGAGGAGCAGCATGCTAGGTATGCGGCTAGCAGAGTTATGGAGACCTTGCCTGTGAGAGGAGCAGCAGCTGGACGTGCTGGTGCTGCAGGAGAGCGAGGCTCAAAATAGCCCCAGCCGCTTCGAAACTGACAAGACAGCTGGGCTGACTGACGGCTCTGGATCGGAAAACCACTGGCCTTGGAATAGCAGGGTGCTGCTGTGTGAAACGATGATTGGTGTGCACACACACTGATGCTTTGACTCGCCACACACACCGCGTACCGCCACAACAGTCTAGGAACCCCTCCACTCACACACATACCCCCCCCCCCCCCCCATGGTATGGGCACCCCATGGAAGTATTCTTAACCTCTAGTGCCCTGGAATGTCTGCTTCTGCTAAGATTAGTTGGCACAAGGCCTTGAGAGGTTCACTGTCTGTTGGATTCATTAGAATTACTTGCTCAGGCTTATGATGGTGCTCTTTCGTCCAATCCCAACTAAGCCCCTATCCCCTATTGCTCTTAGCAATATGTCTACAATTCCACCTTGCCTATTAGAAGGAAAAGGTGAGCTTGTTCATACAATGCTTTACACCTATTCAATCCTATCAGATCCACACAAGTGCGGTCAAAGGGTTCAAGGGTTTGTTTGTGATTGACAGTAGCCTGACTTTTTCCACAGAAGAAAACGTACTGAAACACTGACTACCTGGACTTGTCTCATGAGAAACGCTCATTCTGTTAAAACACATTTTCCATTGCATGCCTTAATGAACATGACGCGTGTGTTGATGGCGCTTGCCCTTGATGTCCACAGGTGCAACTATGGCTGGCAGGGCCAGTTCTGTGACGAGTGTGTCCCCTACCCAGGCTGTGTTCACGGGACCTGTGTCAACCCCTGGCAATGTAGCTGTGAGCGCAACTGGGGAGGCCTGCTCTGTGACAAAGGTAAGGCATAGGCGCACATACAAACACGCGCACATACACACAATGGCTTGTATTTTAAGTGAAATCAAGTCAAATACTGTACATTATAAAAGGGATGTTTCCACCCAGGTAGATGCCAATCTTTCCCAGTCATTTGGGATTGAGGTCTGATGACAATACCTGATGCATGTAACAGAAAAGTGGTGTGGAATAAGGACTGAGCATGACCAATTTTAGATGTAATTTATGAAAACTTTAAACTGTATGCGCATATTAAACTGTGTGTGTCTGTGTGTGTGAGAGTATATACGCACGCGCACACACTACATGACCAAAAGTATGTGGACACCGGCTCGTCGAACATCTCATTCCAAAATCATGGGCATTAATATGGAGTTGGTCCCCCCTTTGCTGCTATAACAGCCTCCATTCTTCTGGGAAGGCTTTCCACTAGATGTTTGAACATTGCTGCCATGACCAGAACATGCCTACTAGTGCCAGTGAAGCAAAACTATTGCACCGTAACAAATAGCATTACTGCCTCTTACGACAAGCATGTTTTCTGCTTGTTGTGGCGTCAGCATTGCCGGCTGCTGTGGAGACTAACCTTATCCCCTTAGTGACTGATCCTGGACCTACTTATGTTGCTTTATTTCCTATACATAATGCATGAATTAAAGTACAAAACGGCCTGATTTCCCAAATGCATCTTAAGGCTAAGTTTATCGTGAGAACCTTTGTAGGAGCATTGTTTCTCAAAACCATTTACTATAGTTGCACTTGAAATTGCTTGTTATTTACCGACTGCCTCAGAACAGCTCAGTCCGTCATTAGATGCATTTTTCCCTACCGCTTCATTTTATACACAGAAAATCTCAGCTAAACATTATTATAGGGTAAGCATTAGAGTAAGCCACCTCAATATTTGCAGCCATAGGTGATGATATATTTCTAGGAGCTAACCCATCGTCCGTATTGTGGAATTGGAATGTTAAGGTAAGAATTTCATGTAGAAAGCTAATCTGAGAGCAGCATTACCTTTCTTTCGATCCTATCTGTATCGACACTGCCTTAACCACGCACTTAGCGAACGTTCTGTCTGCGTTTTGGGGAACGCATGTTACATCTTTGGCCGTTGTGGGGAAAAATCCATCGTTAAAACAATCGTAAGCCTAAGTTCCATCGCTATCGGGACACCGGGCCCAAAGCCTGACCATTTTTATGAAGTTGCCTCATAGACAATGATCTAAGATCAGTTTAGCCTTTTTACCCCTTGTAATACTTAAGCTTAAGAGTTGGCGAGGGGAAACTAATCCTAGAGGAAACCTCTAACCAGAGCAAACAATCAGGCCCTACTAATGAGTGGTGGAGATGGATACTGGTGACTACTGCAAAGGGACGTCCATCTAGCTGTTAGCATAGTTATATAAACACATAACATGGCTACTACATAGTAATAGTAGTAATGCTGCATTTTTGTTAGCGTGGTGTTAGCGTTACTGCTAAAAGGATACTGGTGTTGGGCCCTTATTTGAGTTGATACTGATGGTTACAGCAGAGGACATCCCTCTAGCTGTTAGCATAAACAACTAGCACATAGTAGTAATTCTACATTTGTGTTAATCTCTCCACTTACTTCACTCCGTTATTATACGTGTGTGCGCTTGGGGGGAGTCCGTTTATTTTATTTTTTTTACGCATACCTTTTGGTAATATGATACCTTGCCGGTCCATGCATTCCTAGCCTCCCAAATGGCAACATTCACAAGGGAGTGTTGTCTTCCCATTTTGTGGTAAAGGCAAAGAAGAATGACTTTGAAAACATCACTACTCTATGCTAATTTGAAAGAAAACCAACTGCATATTTAAATAATAGCTAAATGTAATGAAAGTTTAGGTTTGTTTTACATTACCTTGTTTTTTGCCTGCCAGTAGGCTACTCTGCTAGCAGCTTGCTAGCTAGCTGGCTAAAATCAGCAAGCAAGCTAGCCGTTTAGCATCCCACATTTCCCCTATGTGAAATAATCAGATTTATAAGTAATATTCCCTGGCAAATATTTTTATACTTGCCAGTGTTTCCTACCACATTATCTCAGTTTGATATGCTGCTTGAATATATTAGCTCCCTTATCAGATAAATAGAATGTCATCATTTTTCCTCAGAGAAAAAAAGTACATGGCTGCAGATTTTTACCATTTCAAAACAGCCTAGAATCATGTACTTTTTACTTCTAAACAAAATACCTTTTGGGGGGATTTTAAGGCTACAATGTTTGGTGTATAGTTTGAACAGTCGCTGAGATTATATTTGGTTATCAATGCAAAATAGACCGCTTATTTGATGCGAAGCCTATAGGCAGGACTACGTACTACAAGGACACACCCATTTTGTGACGAAAAATGACATTCACATACTGCATTACACTCTGAATCATTGTGTACAGTCTGTCGAGCTTCTTAGGGTGACGTTAGCATAGTGATAGTGTCACCGCTAACAGGATACTGGTGTCAAGCCCTTATTGTAGTGGCCATAGGGACACCCAATCCTCCCTCTGCCCTCCGTCACTGAGTGCTTTCTAGGATGAGAGGAAGCCCAGAGGTCCCTAGTGGGGTCTGATCCCTCTTTATTTATTCACAAGTCCTTTAGGGGGAAAAACAGAACAGCCTCATGGCTCGATACATAGTACTACGGAAGTGTACGGTGTTGGCTGACATTTGTTGCGTCCCAAATGGCACCCTACTCCCTTTATAGTGCACCCCTTTTGCGCTATTTGGGACGCACCCAGTGTATGCTTTCCAAATCTAAATTCCCCTAGCCTGTAGACAAATACTTTTTTGTAGAACTGAACAGTATTTAAATATGCGCTGTATTGGCTATATGGGAATACTTTAGCTCCATCTTTCCTTCAGATAGGCTTACACCTTTCCAGTCATTTCAGATCTACACAAAGTGGGTGGTAGGGGCTGGAATTGTGTATGCTGACTATGCCCAGGATGACTGCACAACTGCTAGCATGCAGAGAACCAGAATGATAGGGATGGGGGTTTGATTTGGCGTTCATAATCTGTGTGTATTTCGTGTGTGTGCATGCCCAGATCTGAACTACTGTGGCAGATACCAGCCGTGCGTGAACGGCGGCACATGCATGAACACGGAGCCGGATGAGTATCGCTGTGCCTGTCCCGACGGCTACTCTGGCAAGACCTGCGAGATAGGTGAGACACAGAATTCAAGCTACTACTCAAAAAGGCTAAAAGGCCCAGCTACTCCCTGCCCCCTTCACCTAGTTCCTAGCTGGCTACCTCCTTGTTTTTCACAAATACTTTGGATGGGCTTAAAGGCCCGTTCCATGTTGACCCCCCTGCCCTCTTCCCCTAGCTCCTAGCTACCACTTCTGTTTTCACAGGTTCTCCAGGTGACCTTAAAGGACCTGTTCCATTTTGACCCCTTGAGGACTTTTCCCAGATGTTGACCTGCTCGTTTGTATAGTGATGTGTTTGTGTATCTGCACGTGTGTGTGTGTGTGTTCTACAGCTGAGCACGCCTGTGTGTCCAACCCGTGTGCCAACAGCGGCACGTGCCATGAGGTCCCGTCTGGCTTCGAGTGCCACTGCCCGCCGGGATGGGAGGGGCCCACCTGCGCCAACGGTGAGAAGAACACCCCTTCTTTCTGTTTATTCATCGCCCTCCATATCTGTAACTCATCCCTGCAGTAGCGTCTGTCTGTCTGTCTGTCTGTGTGTGTGTGTGTGTGCGTGCATGCATGTTTCTGTGAGGGGCCCCCGGCTTCATAGGGGCCAGGATTAGACACCCCACTGACACCCATCGGGCAGAAGACTCACCCGGAGGAGGGGGGGATTTGCATAATCTGCCCTCCCTTTGAACCAGGCCGCATTGGTGGCACTGGGAATGTGTCTTTGCCACCCTTCTTATCCATCTCTCATCGTTGTGGGATTCTCCATAGAACCCATCTCTCTCTCGTTACTGACACACACACAGGCACTCACGCCCCCCCCATGCTTTCCCTAGCCCTCGAAGGTGTGTGTGGCTGTCTGGCCTAAAGCCTTGCACTGGTGATGGAGTGTGACTATACGATTGTAGAAGTGCTGTGTGTTTGCTTGTGTGTTTTTCATTATGCCCGTATCAGAAGTGCAAGGATAGGGCTTTAATGGCAGCTAATCACGTTACGCTACCATGACAGGCTTCTTCTCTCTCGGTCTCTTTTGCTTTCTCTCTCTGTGCTCTTTTGCTTTCTCTATCGCTCTTGCTTTCTTTTTCTTTTGTGTTCTCTCTTTCTCTCTTGCTTTCTCTCCCTCTCCTCCATCGCTGACTCTACCTCTAACCATCTCATTCATGTCTCTCTTTCTCTCTCGCCTTCATAACTTGGACTCCCTTTAACCATCTTATTCCTCGCTCTCACTCCCTACCTCTTTCTCAGTGACTGCGTAAGACTCTTAGAATGTGGTGCTGCTATAACAGCTATTGATGCTTTCTCTGGCAACAAGCTCCTGAAAATAGGCTTTGGGGTCACTTTAAAATAATTAAACGCAGTTAGCCAATGCCTCTGCACTAGCGAGCTCAGGTACGCGTTAACAAGATGCCGAAGGTGAATTGTAGCGAAGGGTAGCGTTTTGATATTTGGGTATACTATCCTGGTTGGACGTTTACTGGAATCAGGACGGAATTAGCTGTTCTAACCATCTGAGCCACACAGGACAATTGTGTTTATAGAAATGGTTTGTTACTGGATACTTTGATAGGAGATAACTCTCTGAGTGATGTAACAAACTAGAGGTTCTATTCAATCGAAATTGGTCACCACATTATTTCATATTAAACACTGTATTGTAAAATGTTGAACACTGACTTAGTATAGTATGCCATATGTGTGGTCATGTGTTTGTGCTGTTGTTTATTTAATTTTATGTGTGTTTTTGGTTTTACTCAGACATGGACGAATGTGCTTCCAGTCCATGTGCCCAAGGTGGGACATGCATCGATCTGGAGAACGGCTTTGAGTGTGTGTGCCCCCCACAGTGGGGTGGGAAGACCTGCCAGATTGGTAAGACCCCCGGATCACACACCCCACCCAAATCAACAGACTGCATGAGTGTCTCAGTGGTGCATCCAATCATGTTACGATCGTAGCTGACTCTACAATGATTTTAGAACAATCCATTAAAATAGGGCTGACCCCATTTAGTCAACTGGTTGATTGTTTGGTGATTTATAGGATATTTATTTTTATCAGGCTATTTTCTACCTGCATGCTGCAATGTTTTTATTTGCTGGTTTTATGTAGGCTATATTTACATAGTTGGCAATAGAAGTTACTTTTAGAATTTTGATTAACCACATTATAGTGATTGAGATACGAAGACTTTATTATAAATTAAATGAAACTGTTCCACGAAAATGTGCATATGAAAATCATAACTGGTACGCAGATTGGTAGAAATGGTAAGATAAATTGGCACTCCAAGTAGAAATGGTGTAGCCTATTATCTACCGGCAACTTCAGGAACTTAATGGCTAAATCTGCGAAGGCCAGCAGCAGCTGGGTCCGGAACAGGTTTTCTTTCTTCTGGTTAGGCGATCTTGATCTCTGGCTCGCTCTTTAGTTATTTGTGTGTCTTCATTATTTAATCACAGTGTGCTTAAAGCATCAGCCAAGCTCAGTAGCCTACATATAGTTTATTTTATTAAAACACATAGGGTATGTCTATATAGGAGAAAATACAAGTTTAAACATTTCGACCATTCTTTGGATTTGTTAAACTAGCTACTTCCGCCAACTGCTAATATTAGCGTTTGGGTGAACTATCCCTTTAAGTACACCCATTCATCGATCAATGGAGAGTCCACTCGCATGACTATTACCAATGGTTACTTCCATAGCCCCAGGAAGTAGGGGTGTTTTTAGTGCACTGGGAATTTACTAGTCCTGTATTAGTGGACCGATATAGCACGGGTTATTTGTTTTATTTTTTCACAAAAGTAGTGCACTGGGCCTTCCTTATTCTCAGCCCCCCTACTGTCTGCAACACGATCCTAGTGCCTTCAGAGTACAGCGATGTACACAGGAAACTGCTTGGCAACCGCTACCCATATCATGAGTGCTGTTGTCTGTGACCAGAGTCCCGCGTCACATTTTAATTTTTTTATCTTTGTTTATTTACGTTTGTTTATTTATCCACTCATACCTGATGAGAGGAAGCAGAGTGTTGTGTGCCAGGAAGCGGATTATGACCTGGAAACAAGCTCGGGGAGGGGAGGGAACCCAAAACCCAGCCCGCAGTCTCCCCTTACGGAGCTGGAACCGTAACCTGGTCTCCCCTTACTACCTGAGCGTTGGATGTTCGGGTTTCATACAGGTGTGCGAGCGGACTGGCCATGCTCCCCGGGGACGGCCCCCCCCTCCTGAATATTTAATATGCAGCAAGGCTTTATTTTTTTGGAGGGGGGGGGGGGGTTTAAAAATATTAGCCCAAACAAGTTAGATGGGTGGATAGATGGAGGGAGTTGAGAGAGGACGGGTGGAGGAGAAGGAAGGGGGAGGTTGGGGACTGTGACTCTATAATGGTGTCTGCGGGATAGGCCCAAACAAATGGAAAAGAGGGAGTTGAGAGAGGATGGATGGAGATGGAAGGGGGAGGTTGTGGACTGCGACTCTATGCCACTCATTTAGATAATTTAATAGGTTCAAGCAATATGGGAATTACTTCAACTTGACGTCCTGGGTAGAGTTCCTGCCATATTTGCCTTTCAGATCTACAGGAGCGCGTAGGAGGGGGGACTAGGGGTTGATTTAGGATTCAGGGATAGAGTGGAACCTCTTCTTCTTGTTGGACTGAAATGGCTGACTGGACAATGCTAAGTGTATTGCTCCCACCAATAGTATAGGCTTATACATCAGGATCAGAACATTGACACCTGTGAATACAATAATACACCTTTTAGAAAAAAAATCCCTCCAGTTTCCAATAATGAGGGGAGCTTTACACAATCCTTTGTATTGTAAAGGGGTTTGGTACCGTGCTTTACTGTAATTCGTTATAAGTGGAAGAGACTGACAAGAAGACTCATTCTTGGACTCCTTTGTGCCGATGTGTTGGTGGTGGGGCTTCAATGTGCCTTTTCACCTCTTTCTTCCCCCTCTCTCTCTCTCACTCATCTTTCTCTCACCTCTCTCTATCCCTCTTACCTCTCTCTTTCCTTTCTTCCTCCCTTTACCCGTTGTCTCTGACTCCCTCCCCCCCTTTACCCGTTGACTCTGACTCCCTCCCCCCTTTCTATGTCCTGACTCCACAGATGCGAATGAGTGTGTGGGGAAACCGTGTGTAAACGCTTACTCTTGCAAAAACCTAATTGGCGGATATCACTGCGACTGCTTTCAAGGATGGTCCGGACAAAACTGTGACATCAGTCAGTATTCGTCTCCCCCTTATTGTCATCACCGTCTCTCTCGCTCTCTCTCTCGTTATTTTCACTCTTGCTGCTGATCTTACCGCTGTGGCTTTGGGCCACGTCTCGTTGGCACGTTCTAGCACTGTCACCTCCGGCCGAGGCTTTGTCACTTTCTAAAGTGGCCACTGTCTCCCTAGCTGTCTCTGCAAAACTCACCAACTTTGCCTCTGTGGTTTTTATTGCATGAAGGGTATAGATTCTTGTCAACTGCATACAGTGCCTTCAGAAAGTATTCATAACCCTTGACTTATTCCACATTTTGTGTTACAGCCAAAATTGATTAACTATATAAAAAAGACCCATCTATACACTACCCCATAATGACAAAGTGAAAATATGTTTTTAGAAATGTTTGCAAATGTTTTGAAAATGAAAATACATAAATATCTAATTTACATAAGTATTCACACCACTGAGTCAATACTTTGTAGAAGCACCTTTGGCAGCGATTACAGCTGTGAGTCTTTCTGGGTAAGTCTCTAAAAGGTGCTGAATGGTCAATCCGATGTCTACAGTGGCCGTACAGCATTTACTACTATACGACCTGTTCAGAAGTCAGGGCATTTATACTTCTTGCGCGTCGCAGAGCTGTTGTGAAAGAAGTTGTCAAGGAAGTGAGTTTGTGTTTATACTAGACCTCCCGCGCAATCATGTCAATGCGGAGCTATACGGAGCCCTCCACATTGTAAAAAAAATTGCCCGATGCGGTACGGAGCTCAATTTTCCCTCTGCGTGCCTCCGGAGGCTCCGTAATTGCGTCACACCATCCGACCACATTTTCGGATCAAGCATAAATTGTCTTTAAGAGTTTTTCACACCTGGATTGTGCAACATTTTCAGGTCTTGCCATAGATTTTAAAGTAGATTTAAGCAACTCCATGGTAGATTTTCCTGCTGAAAGGTAAATTCATCTCCCAGTGTATGGTGGAAAGCAGACTGAACCAGGTTTTCCTCTTGGATTTTGCCTGTGCTTAGCTCCATTCAGTTTCTTTTTTTATCCTGAAAAACTCGATTACAAGCATACCCATAACATGATGCAGCCACCACTATGCTTGAAAATATGGAGAGTGGTACTCCGTAATGTGTTGTATTGGATTCATGACAAAAAGTGTATTACTTTGGCCTCATGGTGAAATCCCTGTGGTGTCCTTCCTCTCCGGCAACTGAGTTAGGAAGGACGCCTGTATCTTTCCAGTGACTGGGTGTATCGATACATCATCCAAAGTGTAATTAATAACTTCACCATGCTCAAAGGGGTAATCAATTTCTGCTTTTACTCCATCTACCAATAGGTGCCCTTCTTTGCAAGGCATTGGAAAACCTCCCTGGTCTTTGTGGTTGAATCTGTGTTTGAAATTCACTGCTCAACTGAGGGACCTTACAGATAATTGTATGCGTGTTGTACAGAGATGAGGGAGTGATTCAAAAATCATGTTAAACACTATTGCACACAGTCCATGCAACTTATGTGACTTGTTTTATTTTTACTTCTGAAGTTTAAAAAATGAAAAGTATAATTCCACTTTGACGTTATGGGGTATTGTGTGTAGGCCAGGGACAAACATCTAAATTGAATCCATTTTAAATTCTGGCTTTCACAAAATGTGGAAAACATTTAAAGGGTTGTGAATACTTTCTGAAGGCACTGTATGTTTGCTTTGTTCATAATTGAAGAATAACCATGGACTAACTTTCCATCTTCGATTCATTAACAAAAACACCTGCCTTGATTGCACATTAAAATGGTGGATCTGTTTTTATGCTATAGTTATTTAAAAACCCTTCTGTGTGTAACCATCTTTCTCTCACCTACCTCAGATGTCAAGGGCTGCCACGGCCAATGTCAGAATGGAGCAACGTGTAAGGTAGGTGCCCTTCTCTGTGGCCTCATGACTCAATGCCACACAGAAAATAAATTAATAATGTAATTCTTTTTTATCTGCTCAACCATTTCTGTAAATGTTCATGTAAAATTTGCAACTCTGAACTATATGTATGACATGACCAAATCGAGATTTAAGAAGGCTCTTAGACTGAAACCTAGAGGACATGCTCACCTATGGATAACTGGATATCTATCACATACTGTCAAGTTCTTTCTCTTGTATTCAACTTGCCCTTTGACCTGTTAGCAGGTCAAACCCTGTCCTATAGGATTCTCATGTGTTAGATCTATGTCATTTATATCTATCTTTTCCCACCATCTTGCTCTCTCTTCAGGAAGGTCCCAGGGGGTATTTCTGTCAGTGCCCGTCAGGCTTTGTGGGCACGCACTGCGAGATCCAGCGGAACAGGTGTGCCAGTGGGCCCTGCCAGAACGGCGGGCGCTGCCACAGCATTTTGGATGGCTTTGTGTGCGAGTGCCCGACCAAGTTCTCCGGGGAACTGTGTGAGGTGAGCCTTGGGTTCAAAGGCTGAAGTCTTGGGACCAGTTTACTCTAAAGTGTTGGTCCTTTGGTGACACACACAGAGCAAATTGAAATCTGACCCTCCAATTAGAGACTGATATATATCTCACAAAAGTGAGTACACCCCTCACATTTTTGTAAATATTTGAGTATATCTTTTCATGTGACAACACTGAAGAAATGACACTTTGCTACAATGTAAAGTAGTGAGTGTACAGCTTGTATAACAGTGTACATTTGCTGTCCCCTCAAAATAACTCAACACACAGCCATTAATTGGGCCCAATTAGCCATTTTCCCTCCCCGGTGTCATGTGACTCGTTAGTGTTACAAGGTCTCAGGTGTGAATGGGGAGCAGGTGTGTTAAATTTGGTGTCATCGCTCTCACACTCCCTCATACTGGTGACTGGAAGTTCAACATGGCACCTCATGGCAAAAAACTCTCTGAGGATCTGAAAAAAAGAATTGGTGCTCTCCATAAAGATGGCCTGGGCTATAAGAAGATTGCCAAGACCCTGAAACTGAGCTGCAGCACGGTGGCCAAGACCATACAGCAGTTTAACAGGACAGGTTCCACTCAGAACAGGCCTCACCATGGTCGACCAAAGAAGTTGAGTGCACGTGCTCAGCGTCATATCCAGAGGTTGTCTTTGGGAAATAGACGTATGAGTGCTGCCAGCATTGCTGCAGAGGTTGAAGGGGTGGGGGGTCAGCCTGTCAGTGCTCAGACCATACGCCGCACACTGCATCAAATTGGTCTACATGGCTGTCGTCCCAGAAGGAAGCCTCTTCTCTTCTAGATGATGCACAAGAAAGCCCGCAAACAGTTTGCTGAAGACAAGCAGACTAAGGACATGGATTACTGGAACCATGTCCTGTGGTCTGATGAGACCAAGATAAACTTATTTGGTTCAGATGGTGTCAAGCGTGTGTGGCGGAAACCAGGTGAGGAGTACAAAGACAAGTGTGTCTTGCCTACAGTCAAGCATGGTGGTGGGAGTGTCATGGTCTGGGGCTGCATGAGTGCTGCCGGCACTGGGGAGCTACAGTTCATTGAGGGAACCATGAATGCCAACATGTACTGTGACATACTGAAGCAGAGCATGATCCCCTCCCTTCGGAGACTGGGCCGCAGGGCAGTATTCCAACATGATAACGACCCCAAACACACCTCCAAGACGACCACTGCCTTGCTAAAGAAGCTGAGGGTAAAGGTGATGGACTGGCCAAGCATGTCTCCAGACCTAAACCCTATTGAGCATCTGTGGGTATCCTCAAACGGAAGGTGGAGGAGTGCAAGGTCTCTAACATCCACCAGCTCCGTGATGTTGTCATGGAGGAGTGGAAGAGGACTCCAGTGGCAACCTGTGAAGCTCTGGTGAACTCCATGCCCAAGAGGGTTAAGGCAGTGCTGGAAAATGATGGTGGCCACACAAAATATTGACACTTTGGGACACTTTGGACATTTTTCATTTAGGGGTGTACTCACTTTTTTGTTGCCAGCGGTTTAGACATTAACAGCTGTGTTGTGTTATTTTGAGGGGACAGCAAATTTACACTGTTATACAAGCTGTACACTCCCTACTTTACATTGTAGCAAAGTGTCATTTCTTCAGTGTTGTCACATGAAAAGATATACTCAAATATTTACAAAAATGTGAGGGGTGTACTCACTTTTGTGAGAGACTGTATATAGTCCAATTACGGTGAGATTGAAAACACAGGTATGTCCTGAATTCAGTCAAAACGCATACCTCCTGCATAAAAGAATTGACACACACTCACTCCTAGAATTATACACACATACAGCTCTGTGCTGTTTTGCTTTGACTGAACGGCAGACAGTACTGATTGCGAGCCCAGTCCTGTACTTGGCGTAAAAGGCTATAAATACGAACCCTCTTCAATGAGGCAACTCTACTATGGCCCGGTGCCCACTCAGTCACTCCAGGTCATTGAGAAGCTACATTTATGCCTATCGTGGAATTGTGGCTCTATTACACTCCTATGCACTCTTATCACCATCATATGACATATTTATGACACTTACTACACTCATACGGCATTCATATGACACTCCTTTTACACTTGTACTGCAATGATATGACACATGCACATCCTGCTACACTAATACAACATGCGTATGATATCCCTATGCACTCCTGCTAAACTCATACAGCATACATAATGACACTATGCACTCCTACTACACACGTACAATATACATATGAAACTCATATGCCCAGGGGTGAAAGTAGATTTAGTTTCTTACGGGAATCCCTATGTGTGTGAGCGCTTGCACACCTTTTTTTTGATAGCCTAGGTGTAATCATAGAATTACATAGGCCTAGAATCCCTATTTCATATGATCCCTATGGGTATTGTAATGACATTCTGCGATTGTCATTAGGCCTACACTTGATGCATCCACTGCTGTCCGCATCTCTGTATCGGCAACTCATCTCCGCCTTGGCAAAATGTAAGTGTTTTCATCTAACCACAATGCAATTCTGAGCATATACCATCCGGTTTCAAGACAATTCGCTCATATTTCATGTGGCTGACATGCGGTAATGTTAAATAATGGTGTAATAGCCTACAGTTTTCTTTACATTTTGTTTGAATTATTGTGATAGGCTCATGTTTTACCGGTACGGCGTACCCCCACTATTTATTTTGCTGGGACGACGTACCGGCTTACTTTCACCCCTGCCTTCCTACTACACTTGTACTGCATACCTATGACACACCTATGCACTCCTATCAAATCAAATTTTATTGGTCACATACACGTGTTTAGCAGATGTTTATTGCTGGTGTAGCGAAATGCTTGTGCTTCTAGCTCCGACAGTGCAGTAATATCTAACAAGTAATATCTAACAATTTCACAACATATACCCAAAACACACAAATCTAAATAAGGAATGAATTAAGAATATATACATATATGGACGAGCAATGTCAGAGCGACATGGACTAAGAAACAGTAGAATAGTATAGAATACAGTATATACATATAAGATGAGTCATGCAAGATATGTAAACATTATTAAAGTGGCTAGTGTTCCATTTCTTAAAGTGGCCAGTGATTTCTAGTCTGTCTACTGTTTAACAGTCTGATGGCCTTGAGATAGAAGCTGTTTTTCAGTCTCTCGGTCCCAGCTTTGATGCACCTATACTGACCTCACCTTCTGGATGATAGCTGGGTGAACAGGCAGTGGCTCGGGTGGTTGATGTCCTTGATGATCTTTTTGGCCTTCCTGTGACATCGGGTGCTGTAGGTGTCCTGGAGGGCTGGTAGTTTGCACCCGGTAATGCGTTGGGCAGACCGCACCACCCTCTGGAGAGCCTTGCGGTTGCGGGTGGTGCAGTTGCCGTACCAGGCGGTGATACAGCCCGACAGGATGCTCTCAATTGTGCATCTGAAAACGTTTGAGGGTTTTAGGTGCCAAGCCAAATTTCTTTAGCCTCCTGAGGTTGAAGAGCCTCTGTTGCACCTTCTTCACCACACTGTCTGTGTGGGTGGTCCATTTCAGTTTGTTGAAGCTTTCCATCTTCTCCACTGTGATCCTGTCGATGTGGATAGAGGGGTGCACCCTCTGCTGTTTCCTGAAGTCCATGATCATCTCCTTTGTTTTGTTGACGTTGAGTGAGTTTTTTTTTCCTGGCACCACACTCCCAGAGCCCTCACCTCCCTGTAGACCAGGGTTCTTCAATTCCGGTCCTGGAGGGCCGAAACACCTCTGTTTTTCATCCTCTCCTTCTAATCAGGGGCTAATTCAGACCTGGGACACCAGGTGAGTGCAATTAACTACCAGGTAGAAATAAAAAACAGTGTTTCGGCCCTCCAAGACCGGAATTGAAGAACCCTGCTGTAGACTGTCTCGTCATTGTTGGTAATCAAGCCTACTACTGTTGTGTCGTCTATAAACTTGATGATTGAGTTGGAGGCGTGCTTGGCCACGCAGTCATGGGTGAACAGGGAGTACAGGAGGGGGCTGAGCTCACACCCTTGTGGGGCCCCAGTGTTTAGGATCAGCGAAGTGGAGGTCTTGTTTCCTACCTTCACCACCTGGGGGCGGCCCGTCAGGAAGTCCAGGACCCAGTTGCACAGGGTTGGGTTCAGACCCAGGGCCTCGAGCTTAATGATGATCTTGGAGGGTACTATGGTGTTGAATGCTGAGCTATAGTCAATGAACAGCATTCTTACATAGGTATTCCTCTTGTCCAGATGGGATAGGGCAGTGTGCAGAGTGATAGCGATTGCATCGTCTGTGGATCTATTGGGGCGGTAAGCAAATTGAAGTGGGTCTAGGGTGGCAGGTAAGGTAGAGGTGATATGATCCTTGACTAGTCTCTCAAAGCACTTCATGATGACAGAAGTGAGTGCTACGGGGCGATAGTCGTTTAGTTCAGTTACCTTTGCTTTCTTGGGTGCTATGACACTCCTATGCCGTTGGCATACCTATGACACTCCTTTATCTCTGATAGCACACCCCTATCCCACCCTTTTAACACCCCCTATGTCCTTCGGCAAACCAATTTGACTGAGTTGATTTGGGATCGGGCATTTGAGACGTGCATTACAGTTGGTCACAGTGGGTTTGGATGGTCTGTTCGAAAGACGGTGTTCTTTTAGTGTTCTTCCTCTTCTGAGGAGGGGCTTAGATTTTATGGGGCTTGTCCCAGCCTTTAGCCCTCAGACCCGTCAGTTTACATCCCACACATACTTTTCATGGCCACAGCACTCGGAGAAGCCTTTAAACAGAATAGAATAAATACATCTCTGCCCCATCAGATAAAGTCAAATAAACAAGTCGAGTGCGTGTGCATGTATCTGTGTGTGTGCGTGTGTCTGTGCAGGCTGAGTTTGTGTGTGTGTGTGTGCGTGTGTATTAATCTGTGTGCATGTGTGAGAGCACCATGACCCAAGTGGATCAGCCCACCCCGTTACACCACACTACTGACAGACTCAGTGCCTTAAATGGCAGTGAGTGGGACCCCATGGTTTACAGTGCGGTTTTAGTTGTGAATTTTCCTACTCTTGATGTCCTGAGAACACAGAGAAAATGTAGAAACTGGAGCCGCTGCCATGTCACTGCGGTGTCCATGATGGCTCTTAAACGGAGGGTCACCTGGTTGAATGAAAGTTACATTAATTAAAACTACACACACTTTAGGTACCTTTGAGCTTATGCTTATGTCAGGCTTCCACAGCTTACCCCTCTGTGTTTATCTATATACTTAAAGAAGAACGGCCTCTCTCACACACTCTCTCTTTCTCTCCCACACTCTCACACTCACTTATACCATTTCTGGCCGTACTGGGTGGCAAGGATTCATTCTATCTGAAGTACTTGCATAAAGTGGATGAAATAAAAGTACGAATTAAAACGTGTTTGTACGTGTGAATGCGTGCATGCGGATGTGTACTTGTTTGTGCATTCGTGCTTGTGTACATGCTTGCATGTGTGAACGTTCTCCCTCCCTCCCCTGCAGGTCCCAGGTTGGTCTCCTTCAGACCCGTGTGAGCCCATCCCCTGTGAGAACGAGGCACCGTGCCATGCCCTGACGGGCGATTTTTACTGCGCCTGTCCCGATGGCTACGAGGGCAAGACCTGTGCCCACCTCAAGGACCACTGCAGGACCACCCCCTGCCAAGGTAGAGCCACACACGGTTACTGATTCTGGACCGTTTTTTGTTGTTTTGTTCCCTATACATAATGCCGGAATGGAAATCGAAAAGGCTGATTCCAAATCAGTTACTAAGAGTGAACTTGCCAGAGCCTCAGAGTACTATGATGGAGTTGCCCCTAGACTTTGATCTTGGGTCAGTTTTGCATTTCCCCCACTAATGGTTAAGATTTGGATTCGGGCGGTGAAGCTGATTCTAGATCTGTACCTAGGGGAAACTAGACACCGGAGCAGATAGAGGCAGACACCTCATTCATCCCTACTGTTTTTTTTTTCTCTCAGTAATTGACAGCTGCACCATTGTCATGGCGACCAACGACTCTGCGGCCGAGGGCGGCGTTCGTCACATCTCATCCAACGTGTGTGGCCCCCGGGGACGCTGCATCAGCCAGCCCCACGGCAACTTCACCTGCTCCTGTGACTCCGGCTTCAGCGGCACCTACTGCCACGAAAGTACGTACCACTGTGTGTCTGTCTGTCTTTCTCTATGTCTGTCTATTATTTGTCTGTTTGTCTGCTGTCTGTACATCTGTTCTTGTGACCAGTAGGCTTGGGCGATATACCATTTATACTGTATACTGGGGTATTTAGAAATACCGACGGTATGATTTTCAAAACTGTTGAGGGTACCTCGCCTCGCGGGGGTGAGTGCTACGCCACTGCTTATAACTAAGTTAAGTATAACTATAAAAAATCAAAGGTGTCAAATTATATCCAGCTCAGGGCTCCAGCAATGCATTTGGTTTGCTAACTTACTAGCTAAGTGGCTAGATGTCAAGATCAAGCGTATTGGTTAAAGCAGAGACATTCAATCCCCTCCAGGATCAAGGTCCCTGTTGCCTAAATTGTTTTGTGCGTCAAAAATAAATAGTTTAGCCCCTTGTGTGCACTTCCGGTAATACCGTATACCCCGGTATGGTACAGAATCGTTATGACGGTCCGAAAATCTGGATACCACCAAACCTTAGAGACCAGGGCTTCAGTGGCATTTACTGCCACAAGAGTATGTCTGTCTGTCCTATCTTTGTCTGTATGTCTGCTCCTGTGACCCGGGCTTCAATGGCCAGGGTTTGGGTCAATTCCACAAATTAAATTCCAATTCGCTTCGCTATCCCTATAAATTCCTTCAATTCAAAATTCCTGAGCAGTTCAATTCAGAGTCAGTTCATTTCCTCTCAAATTCTAAGTAAATTCAAAACTACAATTCCGAATTCAATATTGTGCCACAAAAATTCACTCAATTCAATTCCTTTTACTTCTTTCAACTCAAGCAAAACTCAAGCCAACTACCTCCAATGGATGACGGGTTCGAAAGACAAACTTGACCATTACATTTTTGGAAGTAATATTCCTGCAAACCTTAAATGCACCCTGAATTAAGCCTTTCAGGAACCTTGGAATTTGTATAACATGTACAATTTATAAAATAATACAATACAATATGTTTCATATTAAAACATAATCATAAAGCTGTAAAACATTATCATAAATATTAAACCATCCTATGGCAAAGCTGCATAAGGATGTCAATTCAGATATGATGTCATTGTTTTAGCACCATCTACAGTTTAAAACTACGGCGCTACATGGTTCAATGTACCAATAAATCAGCACAATCTACTTTTTCTGTTTTTAGGATTGGCAGCGTCTTGGAGCTAAAATTGGGATCATGTATACTGTGCTAATGACGATACAAAAAAAGAGTAACAGTGAGCAATGTGTACAATATGGCGAACTTAGCCAACAAGACTTGTGGTAAGTGCATGGGGGCTGCCATTTCTTTTAATGCACATCCGTTATTAGGCAAAACTATTGATTAAGTAAAAGCTGTTTTAATTTGAACAGCATGGAATAATGCTGTAAATGCAAAATACTTCCCCACTGGAGACCAGGGTTCAATTCCTGTCTGCTCCTTTCATTCAATGACTCCCTCTTTATTCTCACCCAATCTGTTTTTGTGTCTAAATTAAGCAAAAATACTAAAGGTAGAGTGAAATTCTACTCTATTATTATTATCTATTTATTTATTTTGTATTTTTTTTTTAGAGGATTTAATAGTCATTGGTCACTAAACATTTGTGTGGAATTTACTTTTAGTGTGTGTAAATCTTCAGTGATACAGGTTATACATAAATCAACAAGGCAGTAACTTCACACATGTAGCTGCGGCGGGGGCGTTGTGTGTGAGATGGGAGCGAGCAGACTGAGGGGAGAGATACGCCAAGGCAACTCGGCTACAGCCAAGAATAGCTAACTTGTAGCAGCCACAATGTTATTTATTATCCCATATAACAGTGCCTGTCTTAACTGGAGTAGCCTAGAGAAGCTAGCTAGCTAAGTCAGCTATAGCTTGCTAGGCTAATTGAGGCCACATGCTGCGCGTTTCCCCCAACCCCATTCAGATAAAACCTACCTGTTTGCTTGTTGTAGCCTACTCCTTCTCATTTCGCTAACTTTTATTTCCGTAATTGTACTCCATCTTGCATTGCATTGCTACACATTGAGCCTCTTTGCCGCTTTGATTGGACAACATAAACAACAAGCTACACAGCTGAAGGCTACCGGTTATCTACCGGTCTTTTTATGGGGCGCACAGTGCACGTCATAAACTACATTGAAAGGTTTGTTGTTTTATTAAATTCATCATTTGAAATGTCATGGTATATCCTTGTAACAATGTCACATGGATAGTTTTTATTTATTTAGAAAAAGCCTTTTCAATGTTAAAATAGGCCTATAATTAGTATTATTAGTGTTCGGATATTGAAATAACCGTGCACGTCCCTAGTTAGTGGTTGAGCATATTTCACCCAATATTGAAATGGTTGTACCAGTTTAATTTTCCATACCTTCCACATTTGGTGAATGGTGCAATTTCCCAATTCCTGGATATTCTCTCTATGATTGGATTCCAAATTACACTGATCTCCGTAAACTAGCACAATGTTTTCCGCAAGCCAGCGTTGTATTAGGGCAGTGGTCTTCAACTTTTTCTTGCCCAGGTACCCCCTCCCAGGCAATCCGGCAACCCAGGGACCCCCATCATACGTAATAAAAAATGTTGACTTGACTTATCAGGTGAATGATAATGGAAAGGATAAGTAATCAACATTTTAAAATTAATAGGTTGGTAGATCGTTTTTTATTATTTTCACCTCCCCACATTATCATTGGAAGAGGAAGTGTGTAAACTAAGTCAAATCAAATTTTATTGGTCACATACACATTTAGCAGATGTTATTGTGGGTGTAGCGAAATGCTTGTGTTCCTAGCTCCAACAGTGCAGTAGTATCTTACAATTCACAAATCTAAAAGTAAAAGAATGGAATTAAGAAATATATAACTATTAGGACGAGCAATGTTGGAGTGGCATTGACTAAAATACAGTAGAATAGAATACAGTATATACATATGAGATGAGTAAAGCAGTATGTAAACATTATTAAAGTGGCCAGTGATTCCATGTCTATGTATATAGGGCAGCAGCCTCTAAGGTGCAGGGTTGAGTAACCAGGTGGTAGCCGGCTAGTGAAGGGTATTTAACAGTCTGATTGCCTTGAGATAGAAGCTGTTTTTCAGTCTCTCGGTCCCAGCTTTGATGCACCTGTACTGACCTCGCCTTCTGGATGATAGCGGGGTGAACAGGCCGTGGCTCGGGTGGTTGATGTCCTTGATGATCTTTTTGGCCTTCCTGTGACATCGGGTGCTGTAGGTGTCCTGGAGGGCAGGCAGTGTGCCTCCGGTGATGCGTTGGGCAGACCGCACCACCCTCTTGAGAGCCCTGCAGTTGCGGGCGGTGCTTTTGCTGTACCAGGCAGTGAAACAGCCCGACAGGATGCTCTCAATTGGGCATCTGTAAAAGTTTCCTGAGGGTCTTAGGGGCCAAGCCGAATTTCTTCAGCCTCATGAGGTTGAAGAGGCACTGTTGCGCCACCTTCACCACACCGTCTGTGTGGGTGGACCATTTCAGCTTGTCAGTGATGTGTACGCCGAGAAACATGAAGCTTTCCACCTTCTCCACTGCGGTCCCGTCGACGTGGATAGGGGCGTGCTCCCTCTGCTGTTTCCTGAAGTCCACAATCAGCTCCTTCGTTTTGTTGAAGGATAGGTTATTTTCCTGGTACCACTCCGCCAAGGCCCTCACCTCCTCCCTGTAGGCTGTCTCATCATTGTTGGAAATCAAGCCTACTACTGTTGTCGTCTGCAAACTTGATGATTGAGTTGGAGGCATGCGTGGACACGCAGTCATGGGTGAACAGGGAGTACAGGAGGGGGCTGAGCACGCACCCTTGTGGGGCCCCTGTGTTGAGGATCAGCGAAGTGGAGGTGTTGTTTCCTACCTTCACCACCTGGGAGCAGCCCGTCAGGAAGTCCAGGACCCAATTGCACAGCTTGGAGGGTACTATGGTGTTGAAGGTTGAGATATAGTCAATGAACAGCATTCTTATGTAGGTATTCCCCTTGTCCAGATGGGATAGGGCAGTGCGATGGCGATTGCATCGTCTGTGGACCTAGTGGGGAGGTAAGCAAATTCAAATGGATCTAGGGTGTCTGGTAAGGTAGAGGTGATATGATCCTAAACTACCCTCTCAAAGCACTTCATGATGACAGAAGTGCTACGGGGCGATAGTCATTTAGTTCAGTTACATTTGCTTTCTTGGGTACAGGAACAACGGTGGACAAATTGAAGCAAAAGGGGACAGCAGACTGGGAGAGATTGAATATGTCCGTAAACATTCCGGCCAGCTGGTCTGCGCATGCTCTGAGGGATGCCGTCTGGGCCGGCAGCCTTGCGAGGGTTAACACGCTCAAATGTCTTACTCACGTCGGCCACAGAGAACGAGAGCCCACAGTCCTTGGGAGCGGGCCGCATCGGTGGCACTGTGTTATCCTCAAAGCAGGCGACGGTGTTTAGCTTGTCCGGGAGCAAGACGTCTGTGTCTGCGACGTGGCTGGTTTTCTCTTTG